CATCACTTAGACTTCCCCAAACTGATCCACCCTATGTCAGCTAACATCGCTCATTAAAGGGAGGCGATGGCTAGGCATGCGTAACACATGTCCATACCATCTCAATCGATGTAACTTAAACAACCTTGTCGATTGACTTTCCACCTTACCGAACACTCGACCGACACCTAACCTCAGTGTTACTCACCCTATTGTACTACTTAACATGCGGGATAGAACGCAAGCACCTATAGGTGGTCATATATGATCAAAGAAAGCTAGCCTTTTCATGCCTTCCTCTTTCAATGCGATTTCTCACGGTCACAAAGAAGGACAGAGGGAACTGCTGAGCAGTACTCACGTCCTTTGATCGATAACCAGTCGGATATCACGTCTACGCCAGAGATGGCGTAAGTTGGTGTATGCCAAACGTGCTGTGGTCTCGTCAGTGATCAACTCACTGGGGCTCATGCCACTTACTAAATAAGTGAAGTGCTTAAGACGCTCTACCTCTTCATTCACAATTTTCAAGTGAGGAGTGGTCCGTGAAGTCCCGTCCTGTATCATCATCTTACATTTGACAGTAGAAGCGAATCGCACGCCAAACATTCGAATACTGCTGCTTGAAGTGTTCAGAATTCTCTGTATTTAGTAATTGTTAGCACCTAGGAAGACTATATAATCTTAGCCTTCTGATTCAACGAGGTCTTTCCCTGATGGTAAAAGGTCAGTCCCTGAGTAGCAGTTAGGGTCATGTCCATCAGTTTATGTATGATGAAATTAAAGAGTGATGGATACGGTGGACTTGTAGAAGATAAATTCATGGAATTAAAACACACACACAGAAGATGGTACATGGATAAGCAGTAACAATATGACGCAGAGTGGCGCTCTTGTTCTTTGCAAACCAAGTTGTCCACAATCGGATCCAGTCAACACAGACAAACCAATTAACTTTTGACAGAGGAGTCGCTGAGATTCGGTTGAACAGAAGACTTTTTTGAACCCGTACAGGCACTCCTGATGGACGACATTGGTTGTCTGTCTCTGTAGGCTCTTACACGGCTGCTCGATTTCCAGTATATTCCTGAGAGTGATCAAAGTGCTAACCGTAAGAAGTACGAGTTGAATCATGTTGTCCCCAACTCTCATGCACTATCAGCATATCACTATCCTTCGCTTTGGTTGAATTATAGTTAGTAAACACGTAAGTGGAGATTTAAAGAACAAGCAAAAGTAAGCATCATTCACTATAAACATACTACTTTATATATTATCATAAACTCTTATGTCCCTACTAATCTTCAAGTGTAAAACCTGTAGTAAGGTGTACTAACTAGAAATTCTTTCCAATGAGTGACACTGCTGAGACATTCAAAGTTATTTTCGCTTAATATCGATTTTCTCTTACGATGTGATATATATGGACACTAACTGACTGGTTTCAACACATAACGTTGCACAGGACTGCAGCAGTTCGAGTTGCTCGACTCCATGTAGCAAACGAGTAAAGGGAGGTTCAGAAGAGAGATTATAAAGAGAAATGTTAAAGAAGAATAGTGACAAAAACAGTAAAGTATGAGGAATGATGGAAAGTCAATGCCTAAGTCGTTAAGATCAATTCCAGTACCATATCTACAATGACATTAAACAGAAATGGGGACAGCGGGCATCCATGACGTACACCACTGGCTGTCATCACTTTAGATGACAACTTTCTGTAGGCTCTTACACGGCTGCTCGGTTTCGAGTATATTTCCTTAATTAGTGCGATGTACTTTACCGGTATTTCCTTCACTCCCAAACGTTGCCACAGTGCCTGTCTGTCGACGGAGTCGAATTCCTCTTCCGGGCCAAGAAATATGGCAACTGTTGCACGCAGAAAAGTGCGCTTATGCTCCAGATGCTGTCGACGGGTGAAGAGATGGTCAATAAACCCTATTTCTGGTCTAAGGCCTGTCTATTTTTCTCGTGTTTGTTTCTCTCGAATACCACTTAATCCACACATGATTATTGATCCTAGAACTTTAGATACCATACTAGTCAAGCCAATTCCCTTATGATTACCACAGGAAGACTAGCCTCCCTTCTTGTATATTGGGATTATCAATGAATTACACCAGCCCAACGGGACTACTCCTGATTCTTAGACGTTGCCTAATACCTTTGTTAACCCAGACAACAATTGGTTGCCACCGTCCTTAAACACCTTTGGAGTCATTCCATCAGGTCCAGTTGCTCTGCCTCGTTTCAAATTAGAGACAGCGTTTGTAACCTCAGTTACGGATAGAAGACTAGTGCCTACATCCGTTCCGTGTAGGTGTTGGAAGCTGAGCAATTCGAGCATGGCTGTTGCCCAGCTGAAATGCTCCTCAAAATGATGCTTCTTACGTTCCAGTCATCTATCATGACAGCTAATTAGAGCGCCTTTTTCGGAGATTGTCTCACTTATCATTTGAGTTTTGCCACCCGTTTCTCTGATAAGCCTGACTAGTTGTCTATTGCACCTATCGCTGATGCCTTTTCCAGCTCTTTCACGTTTGTCGCCCACCACTGTTCACGGTTGTTGCGAAGGGCTTTTGTCAGTTTGCGTTTGAGCAGCTTTCACTCCTCATTATATTCGGAGCTCTGAGGAATCAATCGTCGTGCGTTTGTTATTCCTGACGTGTTAGCGAAGATTTAGTGGCTTTTATTAGCCTGTATTTTTTGGAGCCACATCTCGCTTGCCTGACAAATTGTTTTGTCGAGAAACTGGTGAATCGAAAGCTTCTGATAGCCACACCTACTTGCTGAATCTAACACGTTTCATGCAGCATCTCGCACACATCTGGTCAGATGGAAGCTACTTGAATTTCTGTGCGCTTTATTCTGTTCTGAGGACCCTACAAGTTGCTTTTTTCCAACCTTTCAAAGTGATATTTGGGAAGACAGTGTGTTGTAATCGTCCGCAAAACTCATAAAGCTTCTAGATGTTCTTCTATTAGGAATGATGGTGGAGATTTCTGTACTCGCTGGTCTGCACGCACACTAGTTTACCTGGTGTGTAGACTTTGTGTCCAAGACCATTTTAAATTTGCACATAATTTTTGAATTTTTTGAATGCTGTACCAATGCTTAAATAGCATTCATATTTTCGGCTTTTATTCATATATGAAAAACAATTTTTCAAGGAGCGAAAAATTGAAATGCTTTCAAATGACAGAAATTTTTCACTTTGTTCCCTATCCTTTGTGTTCTGTGCATTTGCTCTGCTTACCATACATTCCCCGATGAAGCATTTTTTTCTCGTGCTAACATTATTTATTTTTCAATTGCCAATTATATATATTATATTATATATATTACCAATTATATTACCAACCTTCACCTGTTTAGTTAAAATAACCTTAAGCAATTGTAATTCTTGTATCCACTTAGATCTCTTACATAATTTCTACTTTGTTTCTGTGTGCATCCTGAGTAAAACTCACTATTATTATTACAACTGTTTGTGACAACTCATCACCTTTGTTACTACTCTAGTTTCACTAACACTTAATTTTCTTGACCTGTATTACCAACCTTCACTTGTTTAGTTAAAATTATCCTTAACCGACTGTAACTTTGTTTGACAAACTTAATGTACACATACATACAAAACAATGCATATATATTTGCGATTGTACAGCTAAGAAGATGAATTCGCCGAAAAGAGACTCTTCGCTGATCTACGTGTTTTGTTTTCATCAATTGCAGAGTATCAGGAGAAACTTGACTGTCGGATACAGTCGGTTCTTGGTGATGTCAGGTGTGTCGTTTTACAGCTCCAGATGTCCCGATTCTTTTACTTGGTGCATTAGCCTCACAAAATAATCGTCTGTAGAGACAGGCTGATGGAGTCTTTAGAATTGTTGAGTCTAGACTCGGTATTTAGAGGCTAATGGTATTGACGTTCACGGATAGTGCGAAGTATACTAACGCAAGATCTTGTAACCACAACTACTATAGTTTGCGTTCCGCGCAGACCAAAGGCAAAGCAAAACGCCAAATTAATTGTCTCAAATGCGGCGTATATTTCAGGACCGAATTCGCATTGCAAGGGTGACTGCTTAAATAGCTAGGGCTCGAACACGAATAGCCGAACGTAACACGACAAAGTGCCAAAAAAGCATTGATATTTGACCGCAATCCTTCAGCTAAACAAGTCGATTTAAGCAATGAAGGTCAGCATCCGATGCTGAGTGATGAACGCCGTCTAAAATTGTCTAGAATAATCTACTGCTGCGGATCAAAACACAACCGGAAGAAACTACAATAGTAATCATAACGTGAAACTATTGTGCACAAATGATACTGTCCTTATCCATGAAATATGATCACGAAAACTAGCTGAGTAGAAGTATATGTATTTCGCGGTTGATCCTGGAAGTCCAGGATAGGTGTTCTAGTAACCAGAAATTGACTGATGGACAGCCATTCGTCAAAGTATAGTATGTGGTTTGAACGAAAGCCGTCCGCTTCACAGGCAAACTTAATGCCTAAACTTATTTGATTTACTATCGCGTATGCATGATATCGTCTTCACCCCATTTATAACGTGATTCGTTAAGACTGGATACAGCTGAATGCCTACATATGTGATCCATGGTAAAATGAGGTTACAATACGAGATAGGACTAAGAGACAGAATGTTTTACTCTTGTCATAGTTTATCCGTTAATGGAATAAAGTTTTGATGCACAATACTTGAAGGAATAACCATGAACCTATATTTGAATGTTTCCTCCTCACTAAGATTATATCTCTTTGGAGTACTGGTTCTCCCCGTGTGTCACCATTGTGGAATCAACTTTTTATTCTACATACACTCGGCCTGATGAAGAATTGACAAGTACAGATGTTTGATAAAGAAGAATCAAAACAATATTGTGTTTGTCATCCTCAGCGAAAATGCTGAATATCCTTTGAACGGTACATTGGCGATTTTCCACTCACTTCGTACTGACCTTCACAATTTCAGCGAGATTTGAAGTTGCAGGTTGATGTCTAAAAAAAAGGGATGTGTACCGCAAAAGAGTGTTCTCTTGGGAAGGATAGGGACAAATCTCAAATGTGGTGTAGTAGGTCTACCTAATGTTGGGTAAGTTGCTGATCAGTTATTGCTAACTTTATTTAGAAAGTCCACGTTCTTCAACATTCTCACGAAAAGCCAAGTCCCAGCCGAGAACTTCCCATTCTGCACTATAAATCCAAATGAAAGTAAGCTTAAAAAACCTAAGTTACCTCTCTAGGTCGTGTTTCGGTCCCTGATGAGAGATTCGAATGGCTCTGTGAACACCACCAGCCTGTGAGGTGGGTTATGCTATCTCACTGGACAATTTTTTAAATATTTCATTACTGAGATACTTTTAGTTAAATAGACCAACATAGTAAGATGAGGTTGTTTCAGAAAGATGCAGACTGGGTTGTTTCACTGTCAATAGGCTGCTACATTATCATATATGAAGCTTTTGTTAATTTTGTTAGTAATCCAATCGTGATAGTTAAAAAACTATTTTGAGTGCTGAAAGTACCACCATTTTACTGTCGATTCTCGTGTTTGGGTATGATGATGTAATCGGGGCGCCTGGCCTGTCTCACTTGCCACGTGGTTACCCAGGCAAAGCAACCTCTGGACGCCGTTGAAAGTTGAGTGGTGCAAATCCTCACTGATTGCTGTTATAGTGGGTCTGTTTGATGTTATATATTAACTCTTACTACCTAGCATATTCTCAAGACAATTTAAAAATCTTAGCTTGTGTTAATGCATGCCATCCAGAAATTATGTCACGTTTTGAAATAACATGCTGCAAACCTGCATTTGCATTTAAAGGAATTGCAAATTATAGGAATGTAAGAAAATTTCTATCTTAATCATTTCTGGATTCTTTTTCGTCGAAAAGCCAGTCAAAGACTCGTGCTCGCAGATAATAATTTAAATTATTCCATACAGTCACCACATTTTTGGCGTGCATCACTTCGTTTACTGTTTGTACTTGTCAGCTCCGAGAATGTGGTATTGATTGGTTTTACAAAACACGTATTAATTTAGCTGTCTTATGGATGGTACTTGGTTTTTAACTTAATTCCACCTGGGAATTTTCCAATTTAGCTCTGCATTGCCTTCTGTTCTGCTGACTGCTTATCATTAATTGTTAAATGGTATTCACTTATTCTATGCACTTATTATTTTCTCTTTGTTAGCCGAGTTCCTGCGTATTTAAATGTCGTGGATATTGCTGGTCTAGTTAAAGGAGCCCACGAAGGTCAGGGGCTTGGAAATGCGTTTCTTTCACATATTCGAAGTGTTGACGCAATTTACCATATGTTAAGTAAGCACATCTAGTACTACTATTATGCTTATTTTATCTAAGGCAGTCTACTGAATATTTGTTTTGAGAATAGGAACGTATTTTGTTTCTTCTACTAATGAAGACGTTTTTTTGTCAGAATCTACACTAGGTTTGCAGTTTATTTTGCTGCCATAAGTTATTCACTAAGTGCATTAAAATACTAACAGAATAAGGGGTAAATATGTGTTAACATCCAACTTTAGTACTAACTTTTTTCTGTGCCATTTTTACCAGTTGTGTTGGAATGCTATTCAATAAATAAATTTATACTCGTTGAGCACAAACATTAACTATTCACAGGCTTTGTTAAGGTCCTTAGAATGTTACACACCAATTTCCTTGTTTTATGACCTAGTTCCGTAATTATTACAAGGTTTTTCAATTTGACGTTTATTTTTCTCTAAATATTTTAGAGCTATCACTAATTTATTCTAGGATTTCGATTACCACTCATTGGGACACAGGTATGAACCCGTCTTTACCTACCTAGGTTTGAGCAGCTAGATATTGGAACCAGCCATCGCAATTTGCCAAGTGGGTGTAAACGTATTAAGAGAGTTCATGAAGTTTCATGGGAATTTGGTACGAGTGATGTCCCCAGAATCGCTCGGCCTTTTGTTTGAGAGTGCAGCTCTAGCCTTTACACAACCAATTGTGACCTACAAGGCAGTAGGAGTGGAGTAGGGAGTCCACTATCCATTGGCAGCCGGTGACCGGAGGATACGCTTTTGATGCAACATCCAGGACATCCAACAAGCTTCGCTACGCCAGTCTTGAGGTTTGATCAGGGTTTAGCTATCTCCCCTAGACTGTCATCCAATGACATTAGTTGCTGAGGGACACGAAGCGAAAATTACTTAAGACTGTATCTTATTGCTATTGCGTTTCATTGTATTATCCCTCATTGGAACCTTCGATTCTTGTTTTTATGCCTGCAAGACTTTTCTTATTTCATTTTTCATCTGTTGCAAGTCTTATAAATATCATGTGCACCAGAGCGAAATTGCATGTTTTTGTGGTCACGTTTCACCAGAAGTATTCTACATAGCTTTTGTTCGATACCATTGCATGGCCAATTTCTAAATAAAAATAATCAGAAGTCGTAGGTTGGAGAGTAGTTTTTTCAATTAGCTGACAAATATTTAAAAATGTTTGAGTCCTCCAAAGTCCTTCCAAGACACTGGTATTCTATGACTAACGAGTAGGAAAATTTTGACTGGCAATGATAAATTGATTAATCAAAACAAGGCAAGGCAAGAAGAATTTCAAGTGATTCAGTACTGTAAGTGGTACCATAATTAAATCATGACTGATATAAACTGGGTTTTGTTCTAGACCATCCTTCAATAACTGTCATATTATTTTGTGAATTTTCAAAAGTAGTTTAGGTTTGTGACACCAATATTCATTTTCTCACGCGAGTAATGGATGAACCAGGCATACTACACAACTCTGTGGTAATAGATTAGAAAATGCAGTGAAATCTATTTTCCCGAGAAATACTGCATAATGACCTCTAACTGAAAGGGTATCTAGTAAGAAAGATACGATATCGTGTATTTCTCACTAGATGATTTTCGTTAAATGAAAGAAATCATTTAACTCTGAGTCGCTTTGGAATATCTGACTTCTTGTAAAACAAATAACCAGAATTTTCAACGTAGAACTTTGCACAAAAGTGCAACAGTTCGAGTGGCAACACTTGAGAACGCATACAAAGATAGAGAGTAGTATGTAGAAATGTAAGGGAAAAAAAGATTAATTTCACAGAGAATGGTGAGAATTTAGTGGATCTAGGAGTTCATAGGCGAATGTATCTGCACCATTGAGAACGATATTCAGCCACGTCACCAACAGTCTGCAGTCATTGATCATCAGCCTCTCAACGACCCCGGTGAAACAGTGTACACTTTTTTTTTACTTGACTCAAGCCAACAGTCGAAGAATTCATGGACTTAAGCCGATATCTCTTTGACCATCCCTGACTCTTTTCCAAATCAACCCTATGTTGTATAACATCGCTCAAAGAAGAAGGCGACGGCTTGGCATGCGTGACACGTGTTGTCGCCATTTCAATCGATGCAACTTCACAACCTCATGGGTTGACTTACCGAAGAGTACGCCTAATTTCATCATTACTAATCATATCTAACCACTTACTAAGTTATATTTTGCCAGTATTTTCACCTAAAAAGACAGGATTATCTGCTTACTCCAAATCGATCTGACTGTTCCCCAGTTTGCCGCGATTGGTGCTGATATGTATGTCTGTTTTCTAGAATTTATCGTAAGGTGTATATATAATCAGTACATCTTTGTTCGTGCCTCAGGGTTATATGGTTTTCACGGGTTTGTTCCTCTCAAGCTCCTCTTAGTCTACGCAAGGTTATAGAACTTGGAATTTTACTTGACTGATTGAGCTTCAACATAGAACTCCACACAGAACTGCAGAAGTTCAAGTTGCCACACTCCATCAGAAAAAAGATTCAAATGGACTTTAGTCGGCAGAAAATTGAAGGAGAAAAAATAATAACATGAAGAAAGATTAGGATATAGTGGTTATGGGCGATCAAGAAGGATTTTGAGCCGCATCACTAATAGTCTCCGGCCCTTGGCTCCTTCGCATCCCGAGGACCCCAAGCAGCATACCTATATCACCCCATGTGGCTCAGACTAACCGTCAGACATTTTATGGACTAATACCAAGTTCTGGTTTGACCATCACTAGCTCTTTTCCATCTTGATCATATGTCAGCTAACATTGCTCATCGAGAGAGTGACACTATTTCACATGGTTAGTCTCCTTACCAAAGACAGGTCAGAAAAGTCGATGGGAATCAATTAAGTCAGCGCAACATAGGAACTTAGCTGGATACAGCATGTTAGACCTTGGAAAAAAACCATTAATTACTGTGTATGGACTCGAATGCGTTCACACAATGGTGTAAGGCAGGGTCAGAGTATTGAGAAGTTAAATAGTTATGTGAAGTGATCATAGACTGAATATCTCTTCTTGGAATTAACAAATAACACAAATAATAGAAATGACGCAATATTAGTTCGGATATACAGAAAACTGAAGTAAAATAGATTAGGAAGTAGAACTACATGGGGAAATTCTGGAGGGTGTGCAAATACGGTTATGTGGTTATGCGCGACTCATCGCGCTTGAAACATCCAGTTATTTCTGTTGTGCCACTGTGCTGTAAGTTAATCTAATGTGGAAAATCAGCTTTTATTTATTTTTATCAGGTGTTGTTTCCTTCTGTTTATCTATTCACAATGATTAAAGCATGACTTTTTCTCATCTAGAAATATCTAATATGGTTTACCCAATTGTTGATATCTTGTTCTACGGATAGGATTGTTCGAAAATGAAGACATCACTCATATTGAAGGTGATATTAATCCAGTGCGTGATTTGGATATTATTGATGAAGAATTACGCCTAAAAGATGTTGAATATGTTACCAAAGAATGTGAAAAGTGTGAGAAAGTAGTTGTTCGTGGTGGTGATAAAAAGCAGATGCCGGTGTATGAATGCTTGACAAAAGTTAAAAATATGCTGGTCAATGATAAGCGGAGTGTTCGTTTCGGTGACTGGAATGTGTCTGAAGTAAGTGAATTGTATAACAACTGGCAAATTTACTTTATGCAAAAGTACGTGTATTGTTTTTGGAAATTCTAACCTTTGCTGAACATAGCTGCAGTCATGAGTTAATATCTTTCAACTACTTCAAGATATTATATCAGGTGTAAATTACCTTAAAATATTCACGAGTGCAAGTTTAAATGTTTAATTGATAACGCTTCAGTTTCCTCGAAACTCTACATTCTTCCATCAAAACTCAAAGCTTGTTATCAGTTTTCGTCTTCTATTCGAGACATTCGTTTCCATTGTGGTTCACTAAAAGTTTTCATGTATCAGGGGATAAAGAAAAGAGACGAAAAATAAATACACACTGACATAGACACTTGTTTGTGAATTCAAGTATTTAAACGTGAATATTTCAGCTCCATTTTTAGTAAATCCATGTAGGTTAGCTAGAGAAATTCCATTGAGAATTGCTGAAAATTTTTTCTGAATATGAGTAATTAGAGTGCTCTAATTTTTTGTCCTGAATAGGTGATGAGGAAATTTGTTGACGGTAAATAACTTTTGCTGGTGAATTGCAGTCAACTGTTATAACTGTGACCGTTAACGTCCTTGGTCTTAAAGTGAAAACAGTTTTCAAATCTAACTTAACTATTGATATGAATGTTGATCAGTTTTCACTTGTTTGACAAGTTCTTGTTTCTTCAATAAAGCTAACTGTTAGTGAAAATTATATGTTCATATGTCGACTGGTTGACCTGATATTTTTGACGGGGTAGTTTAGTAGCTTATTGGGAAATGAAATAAGAGTTGTTCGTTGTTAAATAGGATGGAATCATGAATCCGAAAACCATGTTTTTATGTGCTTTCATTTATTACATATCTTGATATTTCACAAGTCGTAAGTAGAAAAAATCGGCTTGTTGAATAGTGTATGTAAATATCGACTTGTATTCTCAAATGAGCATTACCTGGTAGCCATTTGATTCGATAGCAGTAATATCTCTCCTAATAAACAATTTTGCTTTAAACACGACTCTCACAGCCAACTTCATTGTTAAACGCAAACTTTTGTCAAAATACCTCCAGGATTTGATGATGCCATACACAGCTCACATACCTTATTTTTCACATCTAAGGAGTATTAAGATTCAGGCAGCTCCTGCATACCTTCACTACTGATTTACTTTAATCAGGCAACAGATATACTGTTTAATGTGTCAGTGAACAAAATACTTCCCTTAAGTGTAAGTAATGAAACGATTTTCAAGTATTCAAACATGTCAGACTTCGTCGTGTTTAGATTTGCTGTAATCTTACTTTTACTTTACTTTACTTCGGCTATCTCCTACGGGAGGATGAGGCGGCTTCATGAACATCTCGAATCATCGCTGCCCAGGCGCGGCGATCTGATGCAAGGTTTTGCGACAGGGTAAGAGAGTTCATGAAGTTTCATGGGAATTTGGTACGAGTGATGTCCCCAGAATCGCTCGGCCTTTTGTTTGAGAGTGCAGCTCTAGCCTTTACACAACCAATTGTGACCTACAAGGCAGTAGGAGTGGAGTAGGGAGTTCACTATCCATTGGCAGCCGGTGACCGGGGTTCGGTTCATGCGCCTTTTTGAATGGGGCCAGACATCCAGGACATCCAACAAGCCCTTTGTCCATACGTCTGCCGGTGAGCTCCAGTGAGCTTCATACGCCAGTCGTTGGAGGTTTGGAATCAGGGTTTAGCCATCTCCCCTAGACTGTCATCCAATGGACAGTCAACCCGGTGAAGAGCGCCGGGCATCCGCTTTCGCCCTCTCACTTTGATGAAAAACACCTCCGCCACGTGAAGGCAGTGAGTAGGACTTCCTCAGGAGAGGCTATGTAAGACGCCCGGTCATATGGGAGCATTTCAAGAGGTGTGCGGAGGGGTGGCCAACCCGCAGCGCAAGGCACCCACTCCCGACCATCCTGAGGCTTTGGAGGCTGGTGCCGGAATCAGTGTAATTAGTGACTGGTGATTTTCAAGTATAAAGGCATGTCAGAGAGTGCATTTTTCGGATTGGTTTAGATATACTACCACATTCTAGTTAGCTTTAAGATTTAATGGTCAGTCAGTGGTATGTTTTTTAATTTCCATTTACGGTGTACGGACTGCTATTTGGAGGATTTTTCGTTCTCCTTTTGCGAAATTTCACAGTTAATACCCAACATGAAATTTAAACTTTCATCACTGAAAACTTCAGACCAGAGTATGCACTAATGTGGGATTTTAGTGACTACAAACTTAGATTGTATGAGGTTATTGGTAAAATTTTCTAGGAACACATAAACCACTAACTAGAGTGGATTGTCTTAGTAGTAAGATTTATCGTGGAAACTTGCGCTAAGTGTTCATAGTTTTGCCATATTTGCTAACGTTTTAGTCGTGCAATTATCTGTTACTTTTTTCTGGTAATTCAAACGTAATAAAATTGTGATACAGCTTAATTAATTTATTTTTGAAGTTTCTTTCATTATGCAGTATTTTAACCTTCTTTTGTCCCTCTGCGAAAAATACTTAGGTCGAGATACTTAACGAACATCTGTTTATCACAGCCAAACCCGTGATCTACTTGGTGAACATGTCAGAGAAGGCATTTTTGAAAAAGAAAAGCAAATGGTTAGTTGACATTTCTGAAATGTCTTTTTTTCACTTTTCTCTTTCACACTCTCATATTAAGAGTAACATTTTCTGAAAGTCGAAATTTACGACTCATTAAATAAAGTTATAAACTAAAGTTGTTAATCAAACGCGAAAAACAGTGGTAACATTAAATACTACATCTAATGAATAGGTTTAATGCCGAAATTTCAGTACTTGAAAATTAGTTTCATGTTGTTTTCTTCCTGGCATATTCAAATGTAGTCATTGTTCTTATGTAGTATTTGCTGGCAGTTCGTTTTTATTGATAACACAGTGAGGGTGAAATATTTGTTATACTTGAGACAATTAAAAATCCGTATAGAGGTGTAAAAAATTTGATGACTCAATATATTCTCAGTTTTGTGGGTATTTTACGTCATTCTGTATAATTATGTTTCTGTAGGCTGCCGAAAATTAAAGAATGGGTTGATGAACATGATCCCGGTGCTACTATTATTCCTTTCTCCGCCGACCTTGAGCAAAAAATTAGCGAAATGTCTCCGGAAGAAGCTAACAAATACATGAAAGATAATGAATTCACCAGCATGCTGCCAAAAATTATTCGGGTCGGTTACCAAACATTACAGTTACAGTATTTCTTCACATGTGGTCCAGATGAGGTCAAAGCTTGGACAATACAGGTTGGTGTTTCTGTGTTTATTACAAGCTTATTCGTCGATACTAGTGATTCTTCTGTTTTTTGTCCATGAAAGAATTATGTTGAAAAGTTGCACAGGTTTTGCGAGCCATGCGTAGCTTAAAATGTACTTTTATATCTTAATATTTTGTGTGAAACTTGGGCATTGTGTTAGTGGGTAACTGTATGTTAGTACCTTTATTAGATAAATCACACAGTTTATTGTTAATCATGTTCATTGCTACTTTGAAACTTGATTTTATAGTTCTGATTCCAGAATTTTGCAAATGTCAAGGATAAGTGCCAAATATTCTTATTACATGTACTTTAAATGAATTCTACAAACACATCTGTTACCAGTCTCTACATTCTGTTGTTTTAGATTTTAAGATCGTCACTTTGTCTCATCGTATTGCGTGATTTTTGTGTGATTGTATATAATTCTAAAGCTCATCTCGTTTTAGATTCACTGTTTTAGTACTGTCTAGCCTAGATTTTAGGAAGTTGTCCTCATCCAGTAACCCAATTGACCTTGACCTACCGCCATGACTCATGTATTTCATCCTGATTTCATTTGACTGTAATACAGGAGCTTAATTATTTTGTCTTATGTGTTGCACAGGATCTAATGGACACATTTTGTTTTTAAGTCAGTTCCTAAGCTTAAACATTGCTTAGATCTCTGCGTTGTTTTGAATTCTTCATGGAGTCTTATAAATTTCCTCTTTGTATGCCAGCACTGTGAATGTTTTAAATTTCTCCTTATTCATCCTGTTATTTTTATATATGCAATTGGTATTTATGTCACAGTTGCTTGCTGTTTTGTTTTCATTCTTATTATCTCTAAATATACTTCCAGATGAAGTTGTTGGTGTAATTTTTATCTGACAGGACCTCATCCATGTATCTTGCTACCTGTTGTAGGTTTCCTTTCATACACACAAGCTGTTTCGCCCCATTTACTTAGCACTTCTTTAATCTTATTCTACCAATAGAATGGGATATCTTAAAGCCCCGAATGTGTGAGTTTTCTGTAAACATCGGTGCGTAACTTCCGATCTTGCTTCCTTCTAATTATTTTATCGGTAGCTCTCTCTTATGACTTGATTAAAGTAAATTCGGTTGCCCCCATGACCAAACTTGTTTGAAAACCGTATGTGTTACCTCTGTTTTAGTACTATGAATTTGTCGTCTACTATTCTCAACTATACCTGTCAACTGAAATGGTGACAAGCAGTAGTGTCCGCCAGGGATGCCCATTGACCCCACTTCTGTTTTATTTCCTCATAGTTGCGCTACTGCATTTGACCCTAACTGACTTCTGCGACTTAGGAATTGACCTTTTACCAGGGGATAGTCTCGTTGACTTGTTAAGCCCTAGTGAATTGATCGCTGACGAGACCACAGCACGTTTGGCATACACCAACTTACGCCATCTCTGGCGTAGACGTGATATCCGACTGGTTATCGATCAAAGGACGTGAGTACTGCTCAGCAGTTCCCTCTGTCCTTCTTTGTGACCGTGAGAAATCGCATTGAAAGAGGAAGGCATGAAAAGGCTAGCTTTCTTTGATCATATATGACCACCTATAGGTGCTTGCGTTCTATCCCGCATGTTAAGTAGTACAATAGGGTGAGTAACACTGAGGTTAGGTGTCGGTCGAGTGTTCGGTAAGGTGGAAAGTCAATCGACAAGGTTGTTTAAGTTACATCGATTGAGATGGTATGGACATGTGTTACGCATGCCTAGCCATCGCCTCCCTATAATGAGCGATGTTAGCTGACATAGGATGGACCAGGTTGGAAAAGAGCTAGTGATGGTCAAACCAAAATATAGCGTCAGTCAGTGAAATCCATAACAGTTAGTTTAAGCCACGAATGGAGGTCTAGGCTGTCTGGTTATTGACCCCGGGATGAGAACAACCAATGAATGGAGACAATTAGTGATACGGCTCAAAGTCGTTCTCAATGGCCGGTGCAGATGCATTCACTCCTTGTGATTTTTCGTATCTTCCATATGAGTTTTCTTTTGGGCTCATACTTCTGTTTATCACTTCCTTTTGAATCTCTCTTCTCTTGTTCTGTGTTGTACAAGGAGTGTGGTTTCTGGGACTGCTGTACACCTGTGCAAAATTCAACGTTGAAATTAATCACTTAGTCATATACAGGAAAAGGATTACAATTCTATCTCACTGATTTTATTTAGTACTCAGGAGTTATCGGAGATTCTATCCATCTTCATTTCAGTAATTACTAACTTAGTGAACAAATTTAGGTTTTTGGTGATTTCATTGGTAAGGAACTGGAACTAAATACGATTACTGATATTTGTCGTGTAAGGGTGTTGGTAAACAAGTTTCGAAGGAAATATCTCTTACAACTCTTATAGATAGTCGTTTGATTATCTACCGGATAGGCATAACACGCTAGGCTGCCATTTCCTTAATTTCTACCAAATATTTTATACCATTTTATATACGCATTACGATCTTAGGTATTTTAAACAGTGCTTAGCTTATAATCAAGGTATTCCTTTGATGACTTATCTTGTTCTCATGTTGATATCTTATTAAGGTCTGTCAAAGGCATTATAGTCTCATGTAATACACAATTGTTTACTTTCAGAAAGGTACAAAAGCTCCTCAAGCTGCTGGCCGAATACACACAGACATGGAACGTGGCTTCATAATGGCTGAAGTTATGTCCTATGAGGATTTCAGAACAGAAGGTTCAGAAGCTGCTGTTAAGGTAATTCACCTGATTATTTTCAGAGTATTCTCGTCGTCTGCTTTAATTGAGTCCTATAATTGTATATTTATGAGTGAAAAATTTCTACATCTTTGTACCCATTGCATTACTTCAGCGTTTTGTTTGAATGTTGCTGTTATTCCTCCCGCGTACTGTTACATAAACTAAATAATTCGGTTGTCTGTGCGTCTTATAGCTAAGGTACTTTTTGTCGTATATGGTTTGGAGGGCCAACATTTGTTGCTGCTGAGCATAAAATATCAGAACAAAAACTGTTAAAGCAAACAATTGTTTTCAATAAAGTCTTCTTCAGGCCCTACAATTATAAATCCATTAATTTAAGCATACAATAGCCAGTAAAGGCATATTAGAATCATATCAGAAACGTATTGTGAAACAAGTATAGGATAGGGTGGGACAATAGTCAGTTAGCCTTGAAGACACATTGTCAATGAGAAAATGAGATAAAATGATTTGATGATGTACACGGAAACTGTCACTTCATAAAGTAACATTCATTCTTTCATAAGCTAGTTTTAGTGTTTGAAAGCACAATTAAGATATATATATATATATATATATAATTATTTCATCTCATTTTATATCATGTTCTCAATGACCATGCATCTTCAAGAACCAACTGTCTATTGTTCAGCACCATTCTCTACTTGTTCCATCATACATTTCTGATATAATTCTAATATGCCTTTACTGGTTATTGTATGCTTAAATTAATGGATTTATAATTATAGAGCCTGAAGAAGACTTTATTGAAAACAGTTGTTCGCTTTAACTATATTTGTTCTCAGTAAATTATGGGAATATTCAAATTCCATTAAATATCACAATTGTGTACAAGTGTTGGTTTGTAGGGATTCGATTGGTTACAGGATTTCATCATGAGCTGACATGAGTTAGAGAACCATTGGAAAACCTGGGAGTACTGGACAGCTGTTTCGTCCTGGTTTAGAACTCTTCGGAAGTTAGAATTCATAGGCCATTGGATCGGGTCCCAGTGACTTAATGGTATACGAGCTCGCCTTGTAACCAGAAGGTCCTGGGTTCGAATCCCTGTGGGTGTGTACTGCTGAAGAGTCCCAAGCTATGATGAAACGGCTGTCCAGTACTCCCAGGTTTTCCAATGCTTCTCTAACTAATGTCAGCTCATGATGAGAATCCTATCACAATTGTGTATTGGATTAGTTTTTTTTTACGCCTTTTAAACGTTGTTAATCCATAATCATCTACTGATCACTGGTTTTTACAATAATTCAACACTGTACCTATTGTATCAGTGGTAATTGTATGTCATGCTGCTCATACATAATTTTTGCTAACACAAGCGTGTAGAACACGTAACCGATCTAGTTACAATCATATAACTGTTCTTCGTCAATTTACTCAAGCAAAAAGTACTTTAAAAGTAGTTTAGTGCTGCATATTTTGGGAGGTTTTGGTGTGTTAATTTTGACGTCTGTGTACCTCTCGAAATTCTGCACATCTACGAATGTCATTCTAACTACCGAGTTTCAGGCAACGGATTTGTATCACTAACCTTCATAATATATATTTGCCTTATTGCCTTGACACGGACCCATAGATCATTTTAGCAGGTGTCTCCTTTTAGTCTTTCTGATATATGATTAATTGTATATAAGGAATTTAAGTTTCCACAATATGGATAATGGTGACAAATTAAAAGTTTCACCTTCTACCATTTTGTGGGATCTCAGACACCATAATGTCAGTTTGCTATTTTATGAATTTACTACGAACATTTGTAACTAAGAGTTATTTTGGTTCTTATTATTGTTTTGTAACTGATTTTCATTTGTTTTTCTCGTAAAATTAGGCTGCTGGGAAATATAAACAGAAAGGAAGAGACTATATTGTTGAAGATGGTGATATCATTCTGTTCAAATTTAATGCTGGTGCTGGGTTACAAGCAAAGAAAAAATGATCTTTACATTGTGAATACTGATCTCGGCTGTTTGTTTGACTTTTTACAAATACAATTTATATTCTTCTTGGAATCGTGTTCATTTTAACTTGAAATATAGGACTTATAATATTGTTTATGTTACATTAAAGTATGTTTTTGGTATAATGTTGTAACTGTGTATGTATTTTCGGTCTATGGCTTACTACACAGTTTCGCTTGCTTACAGTATGTCCTTGTCGTTTGATTGAAGATGGCTCGTTAAATTTGGTGATGAAACTACATTTAATTTAAGCGTGACTTACTCTATTGCACTTTATTTTAAACCATATAGGAATTACGGTTTATATGAGCGTTCAAGTACTAATCATTACAGTAATGTAGTTTTTATCTCATTAAAGTAGAGTGAACGCATAAGTGAGTTGAATTATAAAAGTTATAAGATATATTTCGGTTGATAAAATGCTGCATAAGTTGTGTCTTTTTCAGGCATAATCATGCCTATTCTGCCATGGACCAACCCATAACAGTCGTGACCGGCTGAAGGCAAGAATGAAGAAACGATGACGTATTGAAAGAGCATAATCAGCCTACCTATACAACAGACACTTGTCTGTCCAGTGATAGAAAAGCTCCCATATACGATAGACGACAGTGCCAATACTGACTGGAAGACTATCGGGACCCGTAAGCAAGTTAGATGGGCTGAACCTTTGACTCGTGAAAAATGCCCAGAAAAACTATGAAACGACCAGTTAACTATCTAAACATATATATATATATATGCACTACATATTTGTGGGAACGCCCCTATATTTTAAAAATTCAGAACGTTACAATGAGTTCAGTTTCGTTCAAGTTCTTTTTGGAAAGTCGGAGCTGCGTCCCTTCGTGTGTCTTTTGCTCACTTTATTAAACGGTAGGCATAGCTCCGGAAGATGGTTCAATCAACCAACATTCTCAGAGAAATTGCTTTTTGGTGGAGGCAGATGAACTGTCTCGACAAGTAATTAAATAGGAATTATATCCCCCTAGTGATTTGCAAGGCTTCCTTTGTCTGTTGAGTAATGAGTGCCCTTCCTTGTGGTTGGCTAGGTATTCCCGCTTCGCCTGCCGACCGTCATTCGTTCAAAACATGCGTTTGTCTTCTCCAGCAATACAGGATGTCAATCGATAACGCAGGTAATTACTTTGAGAGCACAGTCGGTTTCTAAAGGTGGGTTCCGTTGGTATTAACATTTTTCACTTCCGTTGTTTCCAGACCATTGAGGATTTAAACAAGGGAGATATTGTGTATGCGGAAACCAATTAGTTGTCGATATCAACTAACTTGAATGATGTGTAAATCGTCTGTAGTGTATAAGCACTGTAAATGCGTTTTCCGCTATTTGTAGATGCAAGTTTTTTAAATCTTATTGGCTTCTGATGTCGAAAAATCGTTGTATTGAAAGAAGAAATTGTTTTTTGCACATAGGCAGTTTTGAACACATCTGCTAGTTGATATGTGGTGAGAGCTGGTTGCTAGCCAAAATTGGTAGATTGTTATTTACGTCAATGTGTGCGTCCCCAGTATTGGTCATGATAAAAATAAGAACATAGACTGACTCAACAACCAATCACAGCAAACTTTGTGTAGGCGGGTACAACTTGCAAATAGGTAATCTGAACCTCAAGAAACGGCCACAAAGAGATGAAAGATTAACGTTGAGCGAGAGACCACCAGTCATAAAACTGTGTTTGTATGCTTACAATAGTCTATAATAATGTACATGAGAATCTATAAATATCTGTTGATTTCCTAAATAAACGATCAGTTGCCTGGCCCTTGTCTTCTGTTGTTGCAGATATATCTAGGGTAGACTGCAGAAACATTGTGCCGCACGTAGTGTGCTACAAAAAGGTGTCGCGATATAGTGGCATTTTGTATCGATTTCTGCACTGCACCCGAAGGTTTCGCGAGCTGGATTGTTTATCAGGCAAAAATAAATGAGAATATAGCGCGATTCAGTATGCAGTAGTTTGATCTGCAAGTTCTGTTGGTGAATTAAATCAAATTATGAATACTTTGCAGTGTATGCTCTACCAGTTTGTTTCCGACCAAGGTTTTGATTTATTTGAGTAAATAATAGTACAATAACACCTACCTGAAACTATTTATGCAACGCCACAACTTCAATTAATCCATAAAACTTCGCAACTGAGGGTTATGCTAAAAAAAACTTCAATTTTTCAATATCTCAATTAAGCCTGCTTGTTACGGCTGCTATTTAATAAAACCTCCACTACAGAATACAGGTACAACGCTGAACTTTGCACAGGTGTACAGCAGTCCCAGAAACCACACTCCTTGTACAACACAGAACAAGAGAAGAGAGATTCAAAAGGAAGTGATAAACAGAAGTATGAGCCCAAAAGAAAACTCATTTGGAAGATACGAAAAATCACAAGGAGTGAATGCATCTGCACCGGCCATTGAGAACGACTTTGAGCCGTATCACTAATTGTCTCCATTCATTGGTTGTTCTCATCCCGGGGTCAATAACCAGACAGCCTAGACCTCCATTCGTGGCTTAAACTAACTGTTATGGATTTCACTGACTGACGCTATATTTTGGTTTGACCATCACTAGCTCTTTTCCAACCTGGTCCATCCTATGTCAGCTAACATCGCTCATTAAAGGGAGGCGATGGCTAGGCATGCGTAACACATGTCCACACCATCTCAATCGATGTAACTTAAGCAACAACATTCAGGGAGGTGTTGGATGCTGAATAAGTGGAGCGTGGACGTAGGTAAGTTCAATCGCTCAGAAAAGAGTACCATCTAACGTCTTAATCACCAGACCCCAGGGCTAATTACTGCACCACTATTCTGCGAATTGTCCCACTTGTCATTTGTATTTACCCAATTTTTCGCTAATAAGTCTAAATAGTTGTCTAGTGCTACCTATTGCCAATGCTTCTCCATATCTACAGCTTTCACCGCACGCAAAAATTCACGAATGTTCCGGGGACCATTAGGATCAGTTTCAGATTCACATAATTTCTATGGTCATGACAATACGAGATTAACGCAATCTTAATTTTGGCGGTTGAATTTTCATATAAGCAGTCAGAAATCAAATGATAATAACTTAAAATAGCATTCAGGCGATAAAAATGAATTACAAATAACACTAACGATACAAAATGATTCATAAGTGCGTTCAGTCGTAAGCATGAACGTGTACGAACCACGCAGTGATCGGAGTCCACGCACGTTTTCTAGAAGGAGTGTCAGTCTTCTAGTGCCCCTCTCAAACGACAGTCTGTCACTATGTGGTCTATTCGAGTCCAAGGTTGATTTGGTGATGGAGGTCGCCAGGTTAGTCGGTGTCTCTGTTTGTGCCTAAAGTTGGTGCTGACTAGGAACAGATGATCATCTGAAGGGAACTGTGGAAGATGATAACTGTTGCTGGTTCATCGGCAGAGAATTCCATAGGTACCACTTATGCACCTATCAGTCCTACATAACTTCCCTGCTTGCGCATTGAAGTCGCCTGCTGAAGCAATTGTATCTGAAAGTTTCTCCTTTCGAGAAAAACTAGACAGTTTCTGGTAGAAGTCATCCTTTAGTTCATCCGAACTGAAGTCATTCTGGGCGTGAGTGGAGACTATGAAAATTCAACGACGGGTTACAGTGTCATGATAATTCACCCCTGCAGTAACATAAGAAAAACTGATTACTCCCGAAAGTAATTCAACCGCTAGTGTCACTTTTCGTCGAAATCCTTCATTTATGGAGATCCGAACAGCTGTGTAATGGCTTGAATGCAGTCGCTTAGTGCATCGAAACCGTCAAGCGATGCTCTGAAACAGCGGAGCTCACATTAGCATGTTCATTTTGTTTTTTATTTCTTTTATTATAGCTTGGTAAAAAAATGCAGTCGACCTGATATTGGACAAACATACAGTTTCAATATAAGAAATCCACCTGATATATCTTGCTCCCCAACTTATCAAAGTTGTACGCTAAGTGATGAGTTCATCGCTGGCATTTATATAGAGAGTTTCACGTATTGCTAATGAGGCTTTAAATTAACAGATAACATAAAGTAATCTCTAAGTCTTGATTAAGTCTGGGAGATACTTCAGAGTGCGTTTGAAATGATGATACAGAGGGTCATTTCCTGCTTTATGTGCTGGAAATTACGTAATAAATTTGCATGGATGTGTACTCTCCTGCATGGATGAGAAGCTTTCATTTGTTGAACCAACCTGAAGATTCTTGGAATATAGGTGGCAAGTATAACTTTTACAAAAACATGGATGTAGACGATGTTTTCAACAAGGTATTAGTTTACTGCATTCCTAATCTAATGGTTCAAGTTATTAAATGAGAAATGTTCCACTCACATGAATTAGTAGCTGATTTAAAACAGTGTAAAATCTTATAAGTTTTAAGAGTGTTTTACTGTATCAGTAATGTGCAATGGAAAAACCTTGATGTGTGAAAGATGATTGGCGGCTGTATGTATTAGGCCGCGCTGTAAGAAAGTTTCCTGACACATTGAACTTCCTGCGCAATCTGGATTCGTTAGCACGTCGTCAACGTACTATGTCTTTTGATCGTCGTATATCTAAGGATATCGCACCTCTTGCTGACTGGAGTTTGTCAAATTTGTTCTATTGTTATATCTGCAGAATTTTGTTCCTCTGAAGAAAAAACGGTGGTTGTGTTGGTTGGCCTACCAGCACGTGGAAAGTCGTATATATCCACAAAGCTTTCTCGTTACTTAAACTGGGTTGGTATAAATACTCGAGGTGAGGAATACTGCAGCTGACTTATCAATGGCCTTGTTCGTTCAGTCTTTAATGTAGGAGCTTATCGAAGACGCTATATGAAAACCTGCAATGACCACACTTATTTTTCTGACGAAAACAACGAGGGGGTTGCTGTTAGACAGTATGTTTCACCTTTATTTTGACGTAATTAATTTATTCACACCGAATCTTTCTGTTCCAAATACTCCCATTGTCTAAATTTAGGCGTGCATGATGTTACATATCTATTTTGTGATTTCATTTAAGTATAAAATATCTTGCCAGTTACAGTGTTGTCGCGACGCCGATAAGGTACCCACTGTGTAACTGTCTGCACAATGTCAAATTTTTAGTAGTGTGAACTATGGTACGAAGTATTCATCTTTGCTATCTAAAGTAGGTTGCGTACAATGAGGAAGTAAAAAGTCGATAATTCAGAAAGATAGGAAACGGGAGAATACATTGGAGAGCGAATCGCGTGACTTCGTTTTCTGCGGACGAGGAAGAGAAAATAGTGGTGGTGGTTGCTCTCTGTGAACGTAATGAATGACCAGGTGCTGTATTTCACTTGGTTTCAGGTTATTAACAGCCTTTACAGTTGTGTCTACAGCTAACTGTATGTTGTCCCAGCCTTCCTCAGGAGGAGTCTTCCCGTCGACCTCAGATTTTCATTTCGCTATTTTTTCCTCAAATAGGGACTCAGTGTTTTGATCTAGTTAGGGGTGTAACTGCTTCGCTACCAACAGATTATGTCTGTTCAATCGTAAGCATGAACGTGTACGAACCACGCAGTGATCGGAGTCCACGCACGTTTTCTAGAAGGAGTGTCAGTCTTCTAGTGCCCCTCTCAAACGACAGTCTGTCACTATGTGGTCTATTCGAGTCCAAGGTTGATTTGGTGATGGAGGTCGCCAGGTTAGTCGGTGTCTCTGTTTGTGCCTAAAGTTGGTGCTGACTAGGAACAGATGATCATCTGAAGGGAACTGTGGAAGATGATAACTGTTGCTGGTTCGTCGGTAGAGAATTCGATATCTAACATATATGTATCTGTTAGTTTTGCTCTATGTTAAATACTTCAGTAGGAATTTTTCGGCATGGCTTTTAAAGGCCATCTGGGTGTGTTTCTGGTTCTCATCTTTATTTGTGGACACAGTGAAATGCAGATGACTGACCGGTTTGCAGAATAGTAGGGTATAGTAGAGAAGCAAGGTGATGGGAGTGACATGGATAAAGGCGATTGATGACTAGGAGGGCTTCGTGCGCGGTTGTTAATTCCCGGCTGCCCGCACCATGGAAGTTGGTAGATTCTTGGGTCTCCTGAAACAGGGTATCAAATAATAGAGTCATAAGCATTCTTATACACTATTTAATGTCAGTCATTTAGTGTTCACGTGATCGAACATGTATTTAGATGCATTTATATGATTGCATTTATATAATTGCATGGTCGACCACTAATTGCTTCAAAAAGAAAAGTTTAGTTCAAATATTATGAAGACCAACTAGATCAAAGTTTGGACTATGTCGAACAGTAACATTATTGTCGGTATTAGATGTGTAATTGTTTAATGTGTTTTATTCAACTTAGTATACAAAAATAAACGTGGGTCTATTTTTCTCATACCCAGGCACGTAGCTATCAGTGAAGTCTGGGCTCCACCTCTTTTCCTTTTCTATAGTTGTCACCTGAATAGTCTCCGCTTGTCAGTGAGGACGTTCTCACAGAGAGTGGAAACCAGTACCCTTAGTTTTAAACGTCAGCTCACGGGGTTAGACTAGTGAACCACCACAGAATGATTAATTACAGAAAGAGATTAAGGAAAATACTCTTGCAGCAGTGTTATAAACTAATGCTAATGAGTAGGATAGTTAGCTGTTCAGTATGTATATCCGGTCGAAGGATTTCAGTTGTTTAGCCAATTTATTTTTGACTTCGTAAGGAAATAAATAATATTTATCCCAAAACTAATCGCAGTTTACCTAAGAAATGATTCATGGTACCACTGATAAAATGAGAGTCGGTCGAGAGGAATCCATATTGTTCAGAATTTGTGAACTAAAGTACTCTGTCGATCAAACCATTACTTGGTCTTCAAGTAACATGCTGTGAATTGTTTGAGCAGCTATAACAATTAAAGTAATCGGTCAAGGTCAGCCAATTCCTATCAGACTATAGAGTGATGGAATAATAAGAACAGAAGAAAGTTTCGCCTTTTGAAGTTCAGACTTCAGCTGAGAAGCAAACACAACTAGGGATGAAAATGCATCTGCCCACACCTTACAAAAGAACGCACATTAACTTCCAGTTGTATGACTGAATAAAAAATGTAATACTAAAGCAAAAATTAAAGTGAAAAATTTTAATCAGTAGGTCGTTATTCATTAAACAAACCTAAAAGCATAACAAATAATTCAAGAACTGGAGCCTGGAAAAATTCTATTGCAGTCAGGGCCGAAAAGTAACCAAACTTGAAGAAGTAGGTGTCCAAAATTGTGTTGTTAGCTTTGTGAGATTATGAAAAATAATTTGAATGTTTGCCGTCTTCCACCTAACAGTGCTATTATTTTTTATATCAGGTGAACAAGTCTCTTAGAGGAATCACTATTTACGAACACTATCCAATTTTTACTACTATGGTATTAATTTGTGCTGTAATTCCCTTCTTCATAGAAAGATTGCATCAGAAGCTCTTGATGATCTGTTATCTTGGCTAACATCAGAAGTCGGTGAGATAGCTGTCTTCGATGCAACGAACACCACACGACAGCGTCGTTTATGGATAATGGAACGGTGCAAAGCTCATAATCTTCAAGTCATATTCGTTGAATCAATTTGTAAAGATAAAAAGCTAATTCAAGAGAATGTTTTGGTAAGAACTATAGAAGTTATTAACCGTAAATCATTTCACTCTAGTACATTGGTTTATAAATTTTCTAGGTTTTACTAACGTGTATTCGTGGTATAAAAACGTAACAATGCAAAATATACAGTGCATCGATGCAATCACAAAGGAATTAGCTTTAGTAATAGCCTCTAAAACCGTAATATGTGTAACCATACTTTACCTATCTAAAGCTGAACAACAATGAACTATAGCTGGTTGATGACAGATTGTCAACACAGAAACAAAATACTAAATTAACTATTAAGCTTATGATGATTACATGGCTCAGAGGAGTGTTATGATTCCGTATCATATTTTGTTTGTTCAGATACTGTCGTTCTCCATAATGGGCAATCAGTTGGTATATTTCACTTGTGCCTTAGTCACGTCATTTCACTTCGTTATCGAATTCTTAAAATCCCACTTTCAAAATCGACATCCCATATAAAGTTAGTAAGTTTGCGACAGATTATAGTAGGACTTTTCAAAGGAATACATCAGTTGAAGTCACTACACTTTCGTAAATAACTTAAGACAACTGACGAAATGGTTCAGACTGAAATCAATAATGCAGTATCGGTGCGATTATTTTTTGTAATTATCATATCAGTCTATTTCGAATTCTCGTAATTGACAGACATGAAGCGATAGATTTTGTTTTCATACATGAGTGTTGTTGACTCTATTCTTATTAGAATTTAAGTGATGGTAAAACCATCGATAAATATTTTTTATATAAGTCGAATACCATCTAAACTGCTAATTTGTGTAAACGAATATGTCTGCAATCAGTATTATTTGTAATCTGCATTAACGAGTAGTAATAAAATGTGTTTATGGAATTTGTTTCTTAGAATGAAATGAATTTAAACTGTTTACATTGAATCGACTTATTTTTAGAAGTCGTTTTATTATGTTATTTGCAGCTAGTGGTTGGAGTTAAGACGTGCATTGCGTCCTGTTTGAGACTCGTAGTCTGGATATGTCTGCATCCCAGTGTTGATATGATTCATTAGCTTAGGCAATCGACTTGAAGTTGATGGGTCTCAGTTTATAGTCCTACTGCACCTGCTTCGGCCTGGGCAACCAAGTAGTATCATCAGCCCTCACACAATATTTATGGCCTGGTATATGAAAAATCGGCTCCAGGTAACTGAGTTCTAACTAATTAACTAACTAACTAACTAAACATCCATTTCTTTTGTCATTTTACATCATTTACGGTCTGGGTGCATTATTAAATTAGGTTGGTCTAGTCTTTCTGACATATTTTATCGGTTAAATGTCTTTTAATACGATGCCCCATGTTTCCTTAATGCAAAAAAATCATGTTATTAGTGTAATAAGGCCCTAGGAGCTAAATCTTGTCGAAGAAGCAACTATAAACTAGTCAGAAATATCAAAAAGTGGTTTTATTGGCTGACGATCGCGAATTGATACGTCCAGTGGCTCAACATGTACCGCCTCCTTTTGTAACCTGTAGGTCCTGAGTTTGAGCCCCAGTGCGGTCATGGATGCATACTGCTAGAGTTCTAAACAAGGAAGAAACGGCCATCCAGCACTCCCCAGTTTTCAACGGTTCTATAACTGAAGTCAGTTTGTGGTCAGTCTTCAAGTAAAAAATGGCGTTTGTCTGTTTGTTTGTTTTCAGTGTATTTTTTAAAGTGTTAAAAACTAATTTACTCCTGTGCAAAGTTAGACGTGGAGCCGTGTCCATCATTTACAGAAGTTCTGAATGATAGTTTAAAAATGTTCTTCAGTGCGTTGCATGTAACGCTTTATTGCAATCCATTATATTTCCTATTAGTTGCCTATAAAGTTACTAACAGAAAGTGCTTTGTGTGTTCAAAAGCTCCCTAGCTTCCAGCTTATGGTTATATTTTAATCATTTATTTGCTTCATTTTCTGTACTCTCTCCATTTCTCACTTTTGTTGTGCTTCACAGGAAGTAAAAGTCAATAGCCCAGATTATGAAAGCATGGATAAAGAGGAAGCACTAAGAGATTTTCTTAAGCGGATTGAGCACTACGAAAAGCGTTATGAATCGATTGACGATGATTTAGACAAAGATTGGTCGTATATTAAAATATTTGATCAAGGAAAACGATACTTAGCGAACCGTATTGAAGGTTAGTCAAGTGTATATTGTTTGCTTTTAAATGTTTCAAATTGATCAACCCCGCAATATATATATATATGTATATGGTGGGTGGAGTTGACAAAAATGCGGAAAATATTTTTAAAGCATTCTTTTATTATCGACCGTGTTCTTTTCAATGAGTTCAAACAGAAACAAGCTGTTTTTACTGGGTTATCTTTATGGTTTGGGTCTTAAGATCAGTATGACCTTCGGTAGTATTACTCTGATTACATCACACTTTCGCGAGGAGGTTCAGTCTTTATTCTTCTCAAAGAAGCGTCTGCACTTTTATTGGAATATCAGTGTGTTTCCGCTAGCTCTTTGTTTATATGCTGTTGTGCTGAATCATGTCAGTAAGAACTGCTGCAGCTTTATTCCTGGCCCCAAACCCATCTGTATCATTTATCTGACATTGTTGATTAATATTTTCGTGATTTCCTATTGAAGGGGATGTACTAAATCGTTTTATGTTGTGTTCGCGACAATTGTAGCTGCTTAGCAGCATAGGTAACTTTCTGCCAGATGATACTGCAGGGTAGTCGTGTTATGATGACATGCTGTTTTTGTCAACTGTTACACCTTTTCCGTTGGATTACATTACACAACATCTGTTCAATGTGATACTGTGTAAGAAAAAGTCTTGCATAACAATTTTTGTGTAATCAATATTTTTTCATCTGATGCGATCTGATTAGTTTGCAGTTAGTTTTATTCCTTTATTACGAACTTAAAATAAATGAGATCCACACACGATAAGTTGACATTGATTTGAATTGGGGAAGATGGAGCATTAGATGAGATAACAGTGGTAGTGATGTTAATCATAGAACTAATAACTGACACAAAAAAAAAGACTTTTCAATATGAACATTTCTGTGTAAGTAATATGTAGGAGTAAACTATGAGTAGCTATTGGCTTCAAATTCTTAGTCATAGCAAACAATTAGTGAAGTTGCGAAGTTACCTAGCATCCGGTTGAAGTTCTTGGAATGATGCACAGTCAAATTGTAATTCACTGCAGACAACCCTTGAGTAACTGGAGGAGTGTATTCCCTTTCAGTTAGTTGTTCATCAACAGCTCTACACTAATAAATAAATTTTTCAAATAATAAATCAGAATTATGCCAGTCAAATGGTGCTATGTTAGTCAGTACGAAATATCTATTTTGAGGTGCAGGTGGATTGATATTAATTAGAGTCAATATAGTAATTAGAAGGTAAGGCCATCTGGAGCCATTGACGTAGATTTATTATTATTATTCCTTTGGGTTCCGAATGGAACATAGAGCTTCAACATCACATCTCAACTTTTCCTGTTTTCTCCATTTCTCTTCAGCTGGCCTCACGATTACTCGTTAGCTTTCATTTACTCCTCACACGATATCCCCCATGTCATCCTCACATTCACACCCACTCCTAACTCGTCATTTCTCATCGGCTTCTACTCGATGGCCTCCGCGCGATGTCATTCGACGGTCTCCTCAGCGTTTGCCCAAACCATCTCCATTTTCTTCGGTAATATTTGTTGAGCAATGGGTTCTTGATTCATTCGTTCCCGGAGTTTCTTGTTACTTTTTCGTTCTGGCCGGCCATCTGATCTTCATTACGGTGCGAGCGAAGGCAGCTGTTGATAAAAGTCTGAAGCCCACTAGAAGTGATTTCGGTGACGCGCTGGTCAACTTTCTGACCCATATAGAAGGAGTGACTGACTTAACATTGATGCTGAGAATCCGAGTTTTGTTGTTTATGCAGAGTGCAACCGATTTCCAGACTGATTTCGGAGTGATAAAGGTCTGTCTTGCCTTTCCGACTCTGGTTTCGACATTCACACCCATCTCGACTGCCCATACTTGATGAAACGATGCTTCCTAGATAAGTGGAGGAAGTGACCCCTCTCAAATTTCTTCCGCTGATACTGATTGGTGCCGATTCTTGGATGGTTATCTTCATCACGTCTGCCTTCTCTATGTTCACTTGAAGTTCTGTCTTTTCTGTTTCTACTGCGGGTTTATTATGTTTTCACCTTTAAGTCTTTAAGTTTGTGTGATACTATACATAAATCATCCGTGAAATCCAAATCTACTAGAGTCTCCTTATCGGTCCAACATATCCCTGTCTTTCGCCTAATCCAGTCCATCACAGTTAAGAATATCATCGATGATAAAAGGCAGACTTGTCTTCACTTCTAAGGTGCAGAATTAATTGAAGGGAAATATATTTCTTCGCTGAATTTGTTTCTTACCCTACCTTTGTATTCTTAGTTTAAAAAATTTTTACTTTTCAAGCGTGCTATACATTTTCAGGTAATATTAACAGTCGAATTGTATATTACCTGATGAATATTCGTGTCAACAAACGCACAATTTACCTCACTCGAGTGAGTTTATTTCATAATTATGATCTGTAATATATTGTCTTTGAAATGAAGTTATATACTTATTTTATTCTATCTTAATTAACTTCACGAGAAAGTGTTATCCAAAGATGTACTTTAGTGGAAGCCAGAGTTGATGGTTAACCGTTCTGTGCCCCACTTGCAACATTTTGCCAGTGACACAAGAAACTAATTACCTTTTGGTTTTTCACTTTATGGGCACGTATATTTTGTCTTAGTAAACAAGAAGCGGGATAAATTTGTAAGTGTATTCGTAGATAGCATTTATTCCTCTGACTATATTACGTTAGCTGGTGAGTGTATTATCAAGGCACGCGGAACGTATTAGTCGTCAGCTCATGCATTCCTAAATTGTAAGATTTCTTCTGGTAATCATCGTCAGAAGCTTTTTAGACCACATTTTTTTTTACTGATAATATTAATGTATTAACAGATAAATTTTCCAGGTTTATTTTCACATGTAAATAGCTCTAAATGTAGCATTAAATATTTCTAATTTTCACTCATGGATTTTTGTCTTTGTGTATATTATTAATTCACCTGCCTATAATTTTGTCCAAAATTTCCCCCAATACTTGCATATATATATATATATATATATATATATATAAGCTTCTATGTTGTCTCCCCGGTATCCTGAAATCCTATATGGATAATTTTGCCTAATCACTCTGCAAATTATTTGTGAATTAGAGAAAATTTCCCGCTAATTTGGTTTTCATCAAAAACTTATTTACACAGATTGTGTAGTTAAAGTATGGTAAGAGTGTAATTTATAGCATTATTTCCAGTTCCAAAAACTAGTTATTCTCCGCTTTCTGTGGATATTCATACCATGAATAGTGTTATCCTCTAATTTTGTGGTACTGATTTTATATTATTCTGTTGGAACTGTCAATATGCTGACAAATTTAGATGTAATCAGATAGTTGCATTCATATACAAGCAACTGGAATCTTTCTTGGCATTACAAACTAAGTTTGTTTTTGTATTTTAGACTTCATCTTGTTCACAACTAGTTGTGTTTTGTCATATTGTTACGACTACTTGTATTATTATTATTATTATTGTTATAGTCTAATTACTTCTTTTCTCTGTTTAGTGCTCATTGTTGGTCAATCTTTCTTGTCAGACACTTACACTCGTGTGCATGATATAGAGATGAACTTACACACTGTTAAATATAAACTACTCTATTCATTAATATTTTTCAGAATAGTTTTCAACTGTGCTATATAACACTTATTCAGGCAGTAGTTAGTTCGAAAAACTGAGACAAGCAAATTCATTTTAGTTTGTTGTTAAAGATGAATATAAATAATTTTGTTATATTATGTGTGTATATGGACTAAATTTCAAAAGGTTTTTCACTACCGTCTTTTTTTAACGATCAGCACACCCGATAACGTTGATCGTACACACACACATACACGCTCTCTCTCTCTCTCTCTCTCTCTATATATATATATATATATATATATATATACCCTGTTGTCTTAAAAGTCGTACATAGTAAAAAAAATAAGTGCGAATCAATGCCACTTATTGTGAATGTTTTTTTTACGTATATTCTTTCAGTGACGTTTTATAAGGAACTGCATGTCAGGTGAAGTAATGTTGGCAGTTGTTTTTGGTTTACTCCATTCTTTTATTATTTTATCTGGATCACTTCATTACCGGGTCTTTTGCTTTTAATTAATCACAGTTAACTCAACTCACATTGAAGCATTTTGATACTGCTTGTTATACAGTTGGACTTTGATCAACTTTTTATAATTACTAAATTTAGTTGGCCAAAAATGAGAATATTTCTCACTGTTTACTGGTCTGTTTAATCCTATACGGTGTTTGAAGTTGTTGATTACTTATACACATTATAATTATGCCTATGCCTTTAGGTGATCAGTACCAGTCTTGTGCTAAAATGTAAACTTTTTTTCATTAAGAAGAGCAAAAGGCAATCGAGCGAACAAAATTTTATCTTTTCTATGGAGTTATCTTAAGCTGTACAATCCTGTTACTACTTACTAAAACCATCCAACGGGAAAAGTGTAGTCACTGTACTGATATATACACTAAGATATATAAAAGCCTCACGGGATAATAAGCGAGTGATATTGATGATACACTGAACCCGAGGTGATTTCTATAGATAGGAAAAATAAGATTACATAACAACTAACAAGCTGATGTAAGCAAGGGCTAGGAATCTGGCAAGGTGAAAATTATTGTCAGATGGATGTCACACATCCCAAAACACTCCTAGTTTGTGATTTCCAAATGAGCCGTCTGTATCTTAACTTATATTGTTTTCTTATTCGCAATCTTCTGCTCTCTGTCGTTACCACCGAGATTAAATTGTATTTTCTCTGAACAGAAGTCCTTTCCGCACGGCTACTGTATAACACTGTGAGACTTAATTAATTGCGTCGGTGGCACAGTGGTTAGGACTCTCGCCGACCATGCACATGGTTGGATCCCCTGCCGACGCACACCTGATATCTATGATCGGCCTGCAAAATTTGGGCTACCGATATCCATGCTGAAAATTCCATACTTGTACTGAAAATACGGTGTGGCATCAAGCTGTAATCAAAATAAAAAAAATAAAATAAAATAATGGAGTTACAGTCTACCACAGTGCACAAGTTCTATTCTTATATCACTGTCTATACATTCGACTTATCTTCGGTATTAATTGTGAGATTTAAAATCTACTTATTTTTAAGTTTCTTTCCTGGTTATCATCGTTATGCTTTAACCTGCAGTTTGTTTGTCCATTATCTACACTCCATTCGCTGTTTTCTGTATATACCTCATAATTTATTTTTGTAATGTTTCTTTGGAAAGCAAATTAAAATCTCAAATGGATCATATCTATCTTCATCCCTCTGTTTAAAAAATCTTTTATCTCACTGTTATTTTGTTGAAGAAAAAAAATCCATAGGTCATTTTATTTCTAACCAAAATAGATTTTATTATTTGCAACAAACTGTTTTCGTGTTTTTAACCTACTACCTCACTGACTAAACACAACAGACAATACACCGTTCACATATATCAGTTGCTGACTGACAGTCTTACCAGTATAGATCCGATTAAGATAGGTGGTGTCTGTTGCTTTTTTTTATATTTCTCGTGTAGTGCTTCTCGCATTCATTGAATATAGCGTTTGTCTGTCGAATTAATGAAGTAAAAAAGCCTGTTTTTACAACACTCAACCTGCCATTGCTTTACTTGATCAATGACTAATATATGTTCAAACCAAGTTCACTTTTAACAGTTTGAAAAAATTTGGGCATTCGGTATATGATATTCATTATAATAAAGGTTTTCTTGTATTTCCCAATGAATAAAAAACAAAGCAATGTTGTTTTTACTGATGTTTCGCTATTTAGTGCTAATAACTTATTAAGAGTTGGTTTGTAAGGATTATATCTTTTTACGAATTTATCCACGGATTGATATGAGTTAGAGAACCATTGAAAACCAGGGAGTACTAGACAGCTGTTTCATCCTAGTTTGGGAATCACCGGCAGTATGCACCCACTAGTGTTCGAGCCCAAGACCTTCCTGTTACAAGGCAAGCTCGTATACCATTCAACCACCGGGACCTGATTCAATGACCCCTGAATTCTAACTTTTACCAATTTGTGATTTAGCGCTACCACCAACCAATGTCATCGGTGGGACATCCAAAGTATTATTAAACCAGAATTTACGAAATCTCAGTTGATATATAACAACTTAATCATCGTTCCTAAGCATGGGTTCAGTTTTGCGTTGGCCAATTGCTGAAGATAACAAAACCAGGTGTAGATTGTTGGATTTGATAATTTCATTACATAAACACACACTGCTTTTATAATTTTATACAATCATCAAATCCAACAATCTACACCTGATTTTGTTATGTTTATCAATTGGTCAACGTGACAACGCAAAAATGATCCCATGCTGAGGGACGATGATTAAGTTGTTATATATCAGCTGAGATTTGTAAATTCTGGTTTAATAATACTTTGATAAGACTATTAGCATTAATTAGTGATACGTCAGTAAAAACAATATCGTTTTGTTTTTCATTCACTGGGAAATACAAAAAAACCTTTATTATAACCTCAACTACTCTTTTGTAAAACCTCTGTCTAGACATACCATTAGTCTGAAGTTTGTGTAGCCCAGTTAGTTTTACTTGTGTAATTTTACTCATTTTAAATGCTTGCGTAGTGTGGGAAAAATGTGAATTTTCAATTCCTTCTCTGAACACGTATTAACCTATCAGTAACCTTTGGCGACTGCCTAGCTCGGTAACTATACATATTAAATATTATGTCTTCGATAAGGATGCTAGCTACATAGTTGAGTAGTGATTAAAAGCTTGATTTATGATAGAATTCGATTTAGTAGTTCAGAATATCACCCTGGCATTCTACTGACTGAACTATAAGATCCAGGTTGTAGAAGGGTCTTTAGTGTGCTAACCGAAATTATCTTACACAGCTTGAGCGGCAATCATATTATTGCCCCTTTGGTTAGTCTCTACGACCGACATATATCTTAAAAGCCTAGTCAACAATCTTTAGTAGTCCTAATTACTAATAGAAATGAAAAGGAAAACTAGAGAAAGTAGAGGAAGTTTAGGTGTGCATTACTTTGGTTACAAGCAGAATTTTTATTATTTCTGGGAGAAAATAAAATCTGGAAAACTCTTTCAAATTTGAAAAGCGAAAATATGCGACATGTAAAGCAATTTAATGAGTTTAAAAAATCTGAATGGTGTTAATAATTTTGATCGCTAATAATTTCATATTAGTCATTGTGATCTCCACTGTGATGGTCATGCTTTCATATTGTACCGATCTATAAAGACAGTAGGTGAAACGATTTTCTCTGGTGGCCAAATTTATTCATATTATCAAATGATTTTGGTATTCACTTAGAGAAACTAAGCCATTTAGAAAACCGTAGCGGGAATACTTCATCTGCAGTATTGCTCTAACAACAGTGACTGTTTATCCTTGTCTCATTAGCTGAAGACCTAAGATAAAAATTGTTTCACTTGATGATATCAAACCACTGATGAATACCTTTAATGCAAGTTTTTAGTGGGAGACCACCACTGCCTCTACAATATCTGTGTGGAATACGACTATGCATTACTGTCTGTACATGTATATCTGCGGCTGAGTGGACTTGAGCAAATAGCTACAAAGCTCAATTGTTATTAAATATATTTGATTTCTGAAGGTGCAGCAGTGTAGGCAGTTGTTGAAAGTAAAAGTGGATTTATATGGCCTAATCAGAACTGCATAAGAAATATTTCAGAGAATTCAATCAATTTATGTGCTGTATTTCTTGACGGTGTGAACTCATTACCTCGAATAGATCCATAAGTGATGTCGTGATAGGATGATTATTAAAAATATTCTAAAAAACTGAATCCTAATTAAGCACTGTAAGATTTGTTTTCGGACATTTAGGAGCAGTACTTTTGAAGTAAACTGAAAACAAGACTTGTCTCCACTGTCCTCAAAGGTTTATTATTGTGATTATTCTTCTTTTTAAACGAAATCCACTGCTTCTATCTTCAGTTTTTCTTTTAATAATTTTAGCATGGTGAAACAGATCTCAACCTTCAAGGACGTATTGGTGGGGATGGATCGCTTTCTGAAAGGGGGAAATTAGTACGTTCGATTTTAACTATATAACAGTATGTAAAACTTTTTGTCAGAAAAATACTTTTGCGAATTACTCACCACAATTTTATCAGCTTTTTGTGCTTAATTACTGACATTGAAACCAAAATATTGCGTTAGTCAGTGAAATCCATAACAGTTAGTGTAAACCACGAATGGAGGTTTAGACTGTCTGGTTAGGGCCTTCGGGATGGCAACAACCAATGGCTGGAGACAATTGGTGATATGGCTCAAAGTCGTTCGCAATGGCTGGTGCATATGCATTCACTCCATGTGATATTTCATATCCAATAAAATTTTATTGTTCTTCCATATTACTATTCTTTCGGCCTCATATTTCTGTGTGTTATCTGTCTTTTGAGTCTCTCTTTACTCTCTTCTCTTGCTCTGTGTGATACATGGAGTAAGGCATCTAAAACTGCTGAACGCCTATGCAAAGTTCTACATTGATGCCAGTCAGTCAGAATTCCTGACATATTGTTATTTCTACCAACTGCTATTGTTTCGGGGTAGCGGTCGAGGCTTCTCGAAAAGAACTTCACGTGCTCCGAATATTTTAAGTTGTACTGATAGTTAGATTAACTGATTAAGCAACGGAACAGAAGCAACCGACTGCATTTTAGAATTTTACAGTCAGCGTTACTGGAAATTAACCAGATTTTATCTGATTGAGTGAAACAGTATTTAGGCGGTGTCGATAGGTCAGTTTAGTAGAGCAGCTTCATTTCCACTGTTTTGTGCAATATTGACTAAATGCTTCTTGTTTTTCTTTGTAACGTTGCTTGATCTTGACTAATATTTGAAACTGTTTTTAAATATATTCCTTCATATTTCATCGTAATTGTGAAATATTCTAACACATTATCTGAAAAGTGTCAGTCTTAGAAAAAAATTTTGTTTATCGAAGTCACTGCACTCTACTTAAAATGTGAAATAAAAACTAATCCAAGTCATTTCGTGTAAAATATTTTTGAAGATAAAATCTAACGGCTATTTGAGTAATGTCATTTAATTTATAAATGTCCAAACCAAGTTCACTTTTAACAGTTTGCAAAAAATTTGGGCATTGAGTATATAACATTCATTATAATAAAGGTTTTTTGTAGTTCCCAATGAATGAAAAACCAAACCATATCAAGCGGAATCCACATTGTCTGAATAGTAATTATGGACTAAGACAGAATCTGGCCTGGTTACAACACCTCCCTCCCCCATGAAGTGATAAAATCAACACGAATGTGATAAGCGAGTTCTTTTATAATTTTACACACTGATCAAATCCAACAATCTACACCTGGTTTTGTTATCTTTACCAATTGGCCAATTTTACAACGAAAAATGACCACAGACTGACGAACGATGATCAAGTTAGTAAACTTTGTTTTGTGCTTCGGTGGCACAGTGGTTAGGACTTCCGCCGACCATGCACATGGTCCGGGGTTGGATCCCTGCCGACGCACACCCGATATCTATGGTCGGCCTGCAAAATTTGGGCTACCGATATCCATGCTGAAAATTCCATACGTGTTCTGAAAATACGGTGTGGCATCAAGCTATAATAAAATAAAAAATAAATAAATAAAATATCATAACAAATGTACTATTACCTTTGTTATTTGGTTTAGTGATCTTCATTGTTATTTTGACTTTCAATATGTCCTTTTAACTCGACCTAAGTCTATTTTCTCACCCCTTAACTCTTTGTTATATATATACTGAGATTTTGTAAATTCCGGTTTAATAATACTTTGATAAAGCTATTAGCATTAAATAGCGAAACGTCAGTAAAAATAATATCGTTTGGTTTTTCATTCATTGGGAACTACAAAAAACCTTTATTATAATGAATATCATTTAATCGTCACATGGCACTATGCGTGATTGTTTTTGCTTTAATACAAGTATATTGGTAAATGAAAACATAATAAAGTGTTTTTGGATTAGGATTGGAGTTCTTACCGAGGTAGGCATGATTGTGAAACCTCAACAATCTAAACGGTGAGGTGTTTTTTATCCATTATCTCGTCTTATATCAAGAACAATGTCTTTCGAAGCAAGTTGGAGGAAAACTAAAATTGTTCATATTAAAGGGGAACTACAATTTTGATAGCAACCCTTTCTTAAACCTGACTGAAATTCTCGTAGTTTTTTGAAGAATTAAGGCATTATCCTACTCATTTCACTTGTCTGTTCTTTTTCCCTTATAATCTTTTCGATTATCCTATTTCCTTTCCATTTCTGCTTAAATTGGTACATACTGTTACGATGAATGATGATAAGCAGAATCATTCGGGATTTTTTGATAAAGGTCTTATGTTTCTCCATACATCCTATTTTTTGAGAAGCAGCATCCTCCTACCTATGCTATGTTTAATGGATGACTATATCAGGGTTAATCACTGTCTTTCCTAAAATTTTTGTTTCAGTATGCGCAAAAACTTGCCGTTTTTATGGAACAAGAAAAATTACAAAATCTTAAAGTTTGGACAAGTTATTTCAAGCGTACCATTCAGACAGCTGATAAGATTCAATGTTCTCAAATACGTTACTGGAAAGCCTTAGATGAATTAGATGCAGTAAGTCTAACTACTGTGATATTGATCCAGATGGAATATTTTTTCTCGGGAAGCTATGGAGTTTTACCGTGACATAAGAGAACGTCTGTGTTCAAATTAATTTTTGCAGTTACAATGATTAATTATAACGCTACTATGGGCTCTTCATGGTTATTTGTTGATCGAATAATTTGGCCGACTTGGGATCCAACTTAGCTTAGCTAATATGTGTTGTTTCATCACGACTCTTCAAGGGATCATGCATCTCCAGACCTTATCAGATGTGCTGTTTTATTAGTTCTTTTTCTGAAAGAGGTTCAAAGCGATGCACACTCAAGTGAATGGGCTTTATAACACTACTTATATTTATTTTTCTGCTCCGTAATGAGTTTGCTTTTGGTTAAACAAGTAAACGGTGGCTACCATATACAGAAAAAGGTATGCCACTGGAATATAGTAGCTGTTTCTTGTGACATCGACACATTTGCTTAGATTCTAGATTCTGTAGTCATTGGATGCAGAATTGCAACTGTACAGCAAGAAGTTTAATGAATTCAGGTGGATTCTAGACAGACGTTTGGGCAGATGGATTAGGTCCTGTCCGTGTATAGACAATAACCGTATTTTCTAACCTGGCGTGGCATTTGACTCAGTCCACGAAAGTTTTCGGACATTGTCATCCAAAAAATAACTGACAGATATATCACATTATCATATGTACAATCGCCATCTGACTGATTGACTGTGTAAATCATTTTGCTTATCTGGTAAGTGGCGCCTACCCTAATAGTCTAGTTGTCAGTAAAGTTGTGGTTTATATAAGGAAGATTTAATTAGACTTTTTGGGCTTGTATCAGATTTCCTCGTAATAACAAGTTTCCTACCCTTCAGACCACTGTGTTTTCCTGTTGCTTTGAAAGTTGACCGTCACATGTTCCAGATTTGGGAATCACTTTAAGTCTTCAAACTTTATCATTTTTGAGGCATTGTTCACATACTGTGGAATTACCATGTGTGCGACATATCCCTTAGATTTTTTGTAACCGGTTGATAAGAGTTCACGTATCTAACTGTTTTGACATTTGTTTTATGAATCATACTAAATGTGTTTCTCAATAGACGAGGCCAGTATTTTGCTACCTGAATTTATTGAGGTCTTGTCTATAGTCCTCAACCTTTCATATCTACAATTATGAGGAAACCTTAGTTCTTCCAAAGGTGTAGACATATCACCTAAAGCCGATTAGTTCACCTCTAGGTTGTCCAAATAATCACTCGATCAGTAGGAAACTGAATTTCTGGATAATTTTTGTCGCACAGGATTTGTATTACTAGCTCTGCGATTTAAGTGTAGTAACAATTTTTATCAACTTTTTATGTAGTTATCATGAGTTTTCGTTAACAGTACATATCAAAGTATTTTTAGGGAGTTTGTGATGGAATGACCTATGACGAAATCCAAGAAAAATATCCTGATGATTTTGCCCGACGTGATGCTAACAAATATCATTATCGTTATCCTATGGGAGAGGTAGGTTTCAATTAAAAATGAAATAATTTTCCTCCTTTTTTACACTATTATTATAATATACGTATTCGGTGGTTTTTAAGTGGTTCTATTTTCTGTAATAGGTATTACATACAGTGAGTGCATTTGTTTTCTTACTAGCTTACGAGTCTCATACTGTAATTACTAGATTTTGTGATGAATGCAAATCATCCACCTCAGTGTATTGTATAATTCACATTTAGATGTTCTTATGAATGATCCTTCTAATTGCTTAATTAGTCTACAAATCAGACTGAAATTCAAAACTGTGTTCATCGAAGATGCTGATTAACTGGCTGACTGAGTTTCAACGTAGAAATTCACACAGAAGTGCGAACGTCCAAGTTGCCACTCTTTATGTGACAAATAAAGGTAAAGAAAAGGAAATCGAAATCCAAAAGAGAACTATAATGAGGAGAAATGGACGGGTGGACGAATAGTAACACGGAAAACCATGAAAACTTGATGTGTCTGGGAGATTACTAAGAGTGTATGCATCTGCACCACTGAGATTGATTCTGAGTCACATCACCAACATTCTTGGGCCGTTAGTTTTTAGCTCTTGGAGGACCCCAGTCAGTCTTCACCTTCCTATGTTTTTGACTGAACCCAACAGTCAAAGAATTTATGGGCTGATGCCATGTTTCGGTTTGGCCACCCAAAACTCTTTTCCAAACCAACCCCATGTCAACGAACTTTGTTTGTCAAGGCAGGCGATGGATTGGTATGCGTAGTAATTCCTATTCATATTATTTGATACAGCTTTACAACTTCATCTGTTGACTTTTCACATACTTAACACTACCTCCAACCTCAGTATTTCTTATATAAGTAATGCAGTGACAGATTATGACCGATTCTTGTCAACTTGTATAAAACAGTTGTCCGTATGAATTCGAATAAACAATATTTTCTGAATCTTAGTTGATAGATTTCGATTGTTTGTTGTAGAGAATAAGAAATTTTCCTTGTATACAGTTGTCATTTTAGGTAGTAACCTTTATAAATGTATTTTGATCTTCTCTGCTCTACTACTTTCTTTCCTGGAGATTTGAGTAAATTGCGCGAATTAACGTGTACAAGCACGCATCCCATATTTTCATTTTTACTTACTTCAATCAATCGCCACCAACAGATGTATTATAAATTATCAACCACATGGCCATTTAGTGAATCGCGTGACTCAATCGTTTTATATGCCCCTAGTTTTACCTAGCCTTTGCTATGTTTTGCAGTTATCGCGTATTTACGGTGCTTTTTGTATTTTTAACTGTTTGTGAAAGGCGTAAATGAACTGTTCCAACCACAAAGGTAAACGAGTCAACGCTATCAACACACAGATTGCTCTTATTGTGTAATGCTTCTAGTCGGCTCAATTGGTTTCAACATATAATGGGAGGTGTGTAAGAATTGAAATTTTAATGTCCGTAGGACGTCTGATAAATGAAATAATGTAAAATTTTCATAAAAGTTTCCCAGCTCCAACTGCTGCTTTTCGGAATGATACGCAGAGTAAGGAAACAGAAATGTAGGTGTAACGACGAAAATTATCAAATCAAGATTAGTGATTCACTGAAACACTGATCTTCATTTAATCCAATAAAATGTTCAGAATCTAGAAGATGGTAGGTAATTAGTGAATGCATCTGTGCCACTGACCACTACAATGACTTTTAAGGCATACCAGCAATAGTTCTCAGTTAATGCTTAATAGCCTCTGGAGGACCCCAATCTAACAAACTACACCATACCTTTACGAAACGAATAGTTAAAGGCTTTATGGATTGATGTTTTGATCTGATGACTCTTAATCACACTCCTGCTAGCATTACTATTTGTGCAAGGTGGTAGCTCTGCATGCATAATATGTGTCCTAGCTACCTCAATGGATGGAATCCAACAATTTCATCAGCTTCCGTGATACCTTCGTCTAACCTCTTCTTTATTTACCATGTTGCTTTGCATACGCGGTCGGTTGAAATCAGCTATTGTTGAAGACTTTTATAACTTTTATAACTACTTTCAACGCCTATGTCTCACATGTGCACAGCAACGTAAAGCGCAGTGTTACGCAATACGCCCGACCGTTGATATTTCACTCAATACTTTTTTAGTTCCCTGTAACTGATACCAATGAAGAAAACTAGCCGAGCTCTCTCTGTTCTCATTGAGATTTTATCAATCACTAATTTATCACACAGTTAGCCTAAATTTCCTGGATAAACTCAATCGTCCTACTTTCTTTCGCTATGTAGAGTTTCAACGCAAACTATTCTTCAGGAAACCATCTACTCACTCCAAAGATTTTGAAGTGAAAATGTGAACATTGGTAAATAAAATGGATAATGTTATTATTCAGTATTGTAATCCATCCATGTGGTTTAGTGTCACTATTGTGTAATCCAACCAACCTTATGAATTCGCTCCCGTTGCTAGTACGTGTTGGAAATGGGTGAATAAAAGATTTCCAGATATATGCTTGTAACCACTCAAATCTTCTTGAAGAAACACCATGCTGCTATGAAAATTGCGCTTAATACTAACAATATAATTTTTCAGTAAGTAAATGTCCGTACTGAACGTACATGAGTTAAATGTAACGGTGACTTAATATTCATCTTCAGTGCGTTCTGTGCTATTATATAAACGTACACAACACGTTTTCAAGCTATAAATTTTGAGATAAATTATAACAAATGTTTCTAACCTCTGCTTATCACACCACTGCTTGTCACCACTTCAGATGACAACTCTCAGTAGTCTCTGACCTGGGTGACTGCATCAGTTCGAGTAGAGTGCCTCCATCAGTGCGATGTATTTCCTCGGCATTCCCCTCACAAATAAACGTCACCATTGCACCTCTCGGTCGACGGAATCGAATGCCACTTTCACGTCAAGAAATATGACGATTGTTGGACTCCGGTGAGTGTGCCTTCGTTCCACAATCTGCGGAAAGGTGAACGTATGATGGATACACCTTCTTCCTGGTCTAATGTCTGCGTGGTGCTCCCGTGTTTGTTCCTCCCTAGCACCGCTTAGTCTACGCATTATTATTGAGCCTAGAACTTCAGACACCATGTTGGTCAAGCTAATACCCTGTAGTTATCACAGGAAAACTTGTATCGGGATAATCAATGACTTACACTAAGCCGACGGGACTTCCTCTGATTCCCAGACGCTGCCTAGTACCTTCGTTAACGCAGACAGTAAACTGTGTCCATCGTTGTTGAACACCTCTGGAGTCATTTCACCAGGTCCTGCTGCTTTGCCTCGTTTCAGACTAGTGACAGCATTAGTAACCTCAGTTAGGAACAGAGGATCTGTGTTTATATTCCACTCTGGGAGGCGTTGGATGCTGGGTAGGTTGAGCGTGGCTGTAGGCCAATTAAACTGCTCCTTGAAGTGTCCTTTCCAACGTCCCAGTCGTCTATCCTGAGAGCTAGTTATGGCGCCACTCTTCTCCAAATTGTCTCATTTACCATTTGTCTTTTGCCCCCTGCTTCCCTGATAAGTCTAAGTAGTTGTCTGTTGCTACCTATTGCCGATGCTTTTTCCATCTCTTTCGCTTTTGTCCTCCACCACTGTTCAAAGTCGTTGTGAAGAGACTTCTAGTCAGTTTGTTTTCGAGCAGCTTACGCTCCTCATCATACTCGGAGCTCACTGGAAACAGCCTTCTTACGCCAATCATTTCGGATGGGGTAGTAGAAATCTGATGGTTCTTACTAAATTTCGGTTTCAGCTTATTAACAGCCTTTACAGTTGTGTCTACAGCTAACTGTATGTTGTGCCAGTCTTTCTCAGGAGGAGTCTTCCCTTCGACCTCAGATACTCGTTTCGCTATTTCTTCCTCAAATAGGGACTCAGTGTTTTGATCTAGTTGGGGGTGTAACTGCTTCGCTACCAACAGTCTTATGTCTGTTCAATCGTAAGCATGAAAGTGAGCGAACCAGTCAGTGATCGGAGTCCACGCACGTTTTCTAGAAGGAGTGTCAGTCTTCTAGTGACCCTCGGAAACGACAGCCTATTACTATGTGGTCTATTTGAGTCAAACGTTGATTTGGTGATGGAGGTCATCAGGTTAGTCGATGTCTCTGTTTGTGCCTAAAGTTGGTGCTGACTAGGAACAAATGATCATTTGAAAGGAACTGTAGAAGACGATCACCGTTGTCGACTCGTCGGAGGGAACTTCATAGGTACCACATACATACTTCTCAATCTGGTACAACTTCCCTACTAGGCCACTGAAGTCGCCTGCTGAGGCAACTATATCTGAACTTTTTGCTTCTTGCAACAGATTAGACAGTTTCTGGTAGAAGTCATCCTTTAATTCATCCGAACTGCAGTCTGTTGGGGCGTAAGCGGAGACTATGAAAAGGCAACGACGGGTAGCGCCGTCTTTCCTTCTTTTAACGGACCCGTTCAGACGGACCGCACACATATGACTATCTACTGGGATCCAATCAAGAAGTGATTTTTCCGCCCTAACACTCAATGCTATCCCTACACCTGCGAGTCCTCGTGAACTAGCTGAGGGGTCTCCTGACACCCTTAAAGTGAATTTCGTAGATTCACCTTGTTGGCCGGGTGAGGTTAAGTGAATGACCACACTCGGGTTTTGTATGTGTGTCTCCGAAACACAACATACATCCATGGCTCGAGATGTCAGAGTTCTTGCTAGTGATGCCTGTTGTCCCATTTGGCAGAGAGTCCATGACGAAAGTCTTGTACATAAAAAGTCAAACTTCAGGTCAAGTAAACAATCAATACTAACACAAGCAGATTAGAGGGTGTAAAGACATACAAGAGCAACCAATCACGCTCAAAGTCTCCAGCAGAGATGGCTAACAAACTCGTGAGGAAATTTCAAAGCTCACTTCAAATTGAAGTGTGCGCTGAAGACGTTGCGCATCAGGGCAATGGAAGCTTTACAATTAAACCACTCAGCTCAGAGGACACAACTACATCAACATCACGACTACTCTTTTTCTTTTTCCAAGCCCATAAATAAATTGTGATGGGATCACCCATACTCCTTATTTTTAAACGGCAATTGAAATGGAAGAATTCCTAAATTCTAGTCTACTAGAATTGCTTGTCTAAAACGCATGGATTCTGAGTATCCTCCGCCCTGTTTTTTACTTTAAAACATAAGAATAACAACCTGTTATCTCAGATTGTGTTTTTATCTGTCAATTGCACCTCATAAAGTCAAATTAATTGACAAAACTGTTGAAAGTTGCTTTGTAATTTTACTTGAAGACCATTTATGCAGTCACTTAACCTAACAATTTTGTCAACTATGGTATTCAGAAAATCAATGGTGGGATCGCCTAATCGAATGACATATGTAACTAGCTCCGAACACCATCTGTCACTGTTAGGCAAAGAATGAGCTGAAGTGATAAGGAGCTCCATACTAATTCACCTTGTTGTCAACATTCAAGTTAGCTGAAAAATTTCACCTAAGTTTTCTTATACTCTATGAGTTCGAATTTTACACATAGCAGAAGCAGTCGAAATTCATCTGAACAAGCTTAGTCTGCGCATTCAATAGAAATTCGTACACCCCCTTTCCTGGATGTGGGCATCGACACAATATGTGAAGAATGTTACAAATGATCTTTGCTACTGTCCTTCTAACTATCTGTGGTCATTTCTATCATAATGCTACTTATTTCGCTTCCTCATTTTCACTTGATCTCTGACCATTTAAGTTATCATAAGTGGATATAAATTATTTCAATTAGATGGACAGTTATTAGTCTTTATTACAGTAATGCATTTGTAGGCATGATTGTAAGATAGTTATAGACTACTGTATAAACATAGATACTGTTGTGCTGGTGTGATACAGATAATGTGTGCCAGCGCAATATATTATGCTCACATATTCCCATAGTTCAAGACTGCATTAGCAACAGAATACGATATATCTGTTTGAACATTATATTTGATGTTAGACACAGAATACATTTCCCACAGTTATATACTGCATTAACAAAACAATACTATATATATATATGAACATTCTATTTCATGTCGTTTAATGTAAACCGAAATGATACGCTTAGTGATTGGTTAACAAATATAAACTGTGTATATATCAACACCGGTTTGATCAATGGAAAATATACTTTGGTTTCTGTGTCTTGCCTTCTGTTGTTACACACTGTGACTATTCATAAAATATACTCGTCGGGATACTCGAAAGGTACCAAGAAAGTTGTCATAGATATCTTTTCACTAATTAAATCCTCAATAGGATGCACAGTCATCTCTTCTGTTTCATTGCCTATCTTGACCATACCTGTCTTCTTAAAATTGTTTCATTAATGTTAGTCAGCTCTATTTCTGAGCTTGTATAGTTTTAGTTCCAATGCTGTTTGTCTCATCAGCATTCATCTATCATCATCTACTTGTAAATCTTCATGTCATTTTGGAAAAATTTGTTCATTTCACTTGTGTTACTATGTCCAATTTTAATGAATTCATACTTACTAGCTTGTAGAACGACAGTATATAAGAACTGTATTTGTACGTCTGTTGAAATTTATATGGTGTGATTGTCTCCATAGTGTCCTGTTAACTGAAACTGCTATTTTTGCATCAAAATCTTTATCTGATGTCAACTAATTGAAGTGAACTTATTTTTAAGCCTACCAATTTCTTTGTGTGTCTGTCCATGTAATAACAAACTTTTACTTAACATACTCATTGGTCATCATTTTTTTAACCTGCATTCTTCTCATAGTCCTAGGATTTTCTATCATAATATGTATAAATAACATCTGATTGTTTAGTTATTTCAATGTTGGCTGTTTTGTATTCCTATCTCCTAACTCATTGGTGTACTCTTGAGGATTATGAACTGTCCTACTGGTTGAAATAATTTTTGAGTGTGTTATGTATTTATATATGTGTTTCAGTTAAAATGTGATTTTTAGGCTGTTAGCAGCTGCAGGAAGGCTGTGACATCGAATTAGCTTTTTTTTCTTCTCCTACAGATGTTCTACGTTCTAGCAGTGCTCAGGCTAATCAAGACAACCGGGTGTTTGAAGGTGTCCAGTAGATTGTAGCTTTTATTGAACTGCTCAATTTTCACAAGTATGTGTGGAAAACTTTATGGTCATGCTCATACTAATGTTTGTTTCTTTTCTTAATATTCTAATCATTTAGTCATATCATGATTTGGTCACGCGTTTAGAACCCGTAATTATGGAGCTAGAACGGCAAACGTCAGTACTAGTCATCTGTCATCAGGCTGTAGCACGTTGTCTTTTGGCGTATTTCGAAGATAAGGACAAAGGTGAGTAGGTTATATAGCGTATAGTGTTAGTTATTACTCGAATTCCTGTTGCAAATTACCCTCACCCTTTATATAAGTTGAAGCTATCGGTAAACTTTTGTCAGATAATCAGAAATATTCAAGTTGATTGGCCAGGCGAGATAGACAGTCAGCCTATCACTATCATCTGCGTTTTCTTCGGACTAGACCAATCTGAACAATTTTTTCATGATTATTTTGGGACATTCGTGTATCATTCATTGTACTTTTGATGTGAGAACGAAAATTATGAGGCAGTTGCTGTTGAATTTTAGCTCAGTTAGCATACAGTTGGTACCTAACCACGAGTTTTCTTGTCGTTACATTTATTTAACTTCAACTTCAATTTGTTATAAGACAGCTTACCAATAGTTTAAAGTTTCTTTGTTAAATTCAGTTTCTAAACGAGGGTGGTGATTTCATTGTTTTGCATTTTAACCTTAATGTCATTTCAACCTTCAGTTCAGTCTACTCATGTGGCGTTTTTGCAGTATCTCACCCATTTGTTTACTATTACTCTTAATTTTGAAGTTCATTTATCAATTACTTTTGTGATGAGATTGTTTGAAATAAGTTTTACAATACATCATACAGTTCAAAATTTCTCGTTGTGTTGTCAAAATCGATCAGTTGAACTGATTGTTTCACAAAGAGTCTGTCGGAAATCATAATATCACTAAGACATGTGTTATGCATACGGATCCACCTTTGCCAATGAAAAACTGTGTTATTTGAGGTAAGATTAAATTCCAAAAGAATTTGAAGTTACTGGTCCTAGAAATTTATTGTTCATTCTTATTATTTTAATCGTCCGACAGACGTCAGTCGTCATTTATTTGAAGATTACCGGCAAGATTCAACTCACCATCTTCGATTGTCCTTATTCTACCATTTTATTTTTCAGTGTTTTATTTTCTTTCTTCAAACAGATGAACTACCATACATTCGTGTACCTTTGCATACAGTTTTCAAGCTAACACCAACAGCATATCGTTGTATAGTTGAACGAGTGGAACTCAATGTACCTGCAGTGGAAACACACAGAGAAAATCCACAGGTTTGTTTGTCTTGTTGTATGCTTTAAACCTACAGTTCTTTTTTAATCAGTTTAATTATTGTTTGTGTTTTTGTGGGTACATTCAATTGCAGCTTTCTTCCGTAGCAATAACTTATATTTGTCCGCTTTTTGTGATTTTCCTCGACTATCAAAGTAAAATGTGAATTTGAATCCAATTCAGGGAACATGTGTATACAATTTGTGCAATGAAATTCTTCTTGTATATGCATGTGTTCTATGCAGTAACAAACAGTTATTCTGTTCACTTAGTGCATATAAGATCATACACGGATAATAGATGGACTAGATGATAAATCCACTTTTCACCCTAAGAATTTTGAAGATAAAACTTCTAGTGATCAGATACAGTTTCATCATATATTACATGATGATCGTAATGATACGACGTTGTACAAAGCTTAGTAATATCTGTGAATCGTGATTTCGAATTCAAATGTCTGTTCATGCCATCCTTATTTCACATAGTAACAACAATCGTTTGAAGATAAATGAAATTGGGCAGCCAAGTACAACATTTGAATAAGTGTAATAGCATAATTGGTTGAGAAGGTATTGGTGGTTGAATCTCACCCACTATATTTTAGGCAAACATTACGTTTAACACAATTGTTTACCACATAGATCCTGAAGTTGACAGTAGGGAAGGATGACAAATTGTGTGTAGTTATGTAAAAAGTTGCAAAAAGTCCTAAGATAACAGAAGAAAATATAAAGCGACTAAATAAGTAAAATTTTATCACTGAGTTTAAAAATAACATAACTGTGACTGTAAATCGACTGGGATAGACTCTGAGTTATAACATTCACAGATTTCAACAGTTATCCAGCTTTTGAACCTCAACGAGAATGGACAGTCACAAGCCTCTTGGATTAGAGTCATGTGTTGTAAACTCAATGAACTTCATCATCAACCTTGTTTGTGAATTAAAATTACTTCAGTTATTACGTTTGCGGTTTTCCTTCTAACTTCCTTTAATTGCCTTTGCCTTTTTTTTAGCTTGTCAAACTACAGCATACCTCATTTGAAACAATGAAAACTGTGCCAGCCCAATACTAATTTTGGTTCTCAGGGATCCAATGTTTTACTCAAACTATCTTTTGTGAAGTGTGTCCTACCTTTAACTTTTTTTGGTTAATTTCTATGCTGCAACCATCTTTTTTTCACATGATTATTTGTGTATTTTGTGTTTTACTTAGCTACAATGATATGAATATTATTTAATAACTTCTATCATGGTATGCACTTATTTACTTTTAGTATCGATTACATCAGTTATTTACCGTGTACTAATTTGATTATTATCTACTTAATTTTCTTGCCTTATGTGTACTTTCTTCTGTATAAACCACACAAAAAATGTATCAACGTATCTTTTTAAAATGACGTATCAACAGTGAATTTTCGTATTCTGTGTTTTTATGCAGCATCTGATATGAAAAGTGTTGATTATAACTGGGGAGATTCATACACAACGAGTTAGAGAAAGAAAATATATGGAAGGTAGCATTTCATTGTATATACTTCATATGATGACACTAGTCTATTGAAGAAGTAGCAGTCTAGTTGTTAAAGGTGAAGAATATGCATATGCGTAATCATGTGTTATGCGACAACGATTCAAACTGTTCCGTCTCTGCACTCTTTAAGTCAGTTCAGTACAACAAGAGCGTTCACTTTTTGTTAGCTTTACTCTAAGGTTTCTTCTCTATCCTGCTTGGCAGTAATACATAAGGATTTTCTACGGATTCCTTCCATATTATGCCCTTCGTAACTACAAAGGTGTACGGTTTTTGACTGAATAAAACGGGAATTCGAAAATGCAGTCAGCTAGTTGGTTGCTCATATGAATGAAACTGATTTCATCTATGGCACATAGTTTAGACTGTAGTGCTTGGTTAACGACTTTGAAGAGTTACGCTTTAATTTTATATCTGCGATCTGCTAACACGTAATGATGTTGTTTTTTCTATTTCGGCAATATTTTAAGGAAAATTACTATCTAATAACACCAAATGATGAAACTGTTTTTTAATTGCCAAAATAAACTTGTCTTCGTGTGTAAACTATAGAAATGTAATTATAATTAATTTGATCTATTCCACTGTTCACAAACTTTTCACAGACATTAATTTTCTACGGTAAATTCATGGAAAAATAATCAGTCGAACTAGAACTAGGAGGGAAAATACGCAGATGTTCTTCATAGCACAATCTGTGTTGATAATAGAATGCACTTGTGAGCTTAGCTAACAGATACCAAAGATGTAAAAATCTATTTCTCAAGAAGAATTGATTGGAAAAGGCCAGCTAAAATAAGGGATTCAGCATTTAAACAATCAATGAAGGAAATCATAGGAATAACGGAATCCTTTGTTTCATTGGCTTTGGCCATGTCAAAAATCTCAATAATCTATTTTTGAAACTGCTAATTATGCATTTTATTCAGCCTGTAATTATGTATACGCTCAATACAATGCTGGTAAAAAATGATTTACTTCTCTGAAAAGTTTTGGAAACAAATGCTGCAATTACTTGTGAAGTGAACACGAATCTGTCTGTATGCGTATACAGCAGGAGATTGAAAGCTTTTAAGTGCGGTTTATCCTTGTTGTATGTAAGACAGTGCTGCGAGACTGACTGCATTACATATTTAGGGATACTGATTGGAGTAGTTGAGCATGTTGGCGACTTCACTGATTCGGGAAATTACCTCAGCCTTACTAGGTTGATTACTGACGGAACCTCTAGCACAGATACGAAGGGTTCTTTTGACATTTTCCAACTTGGGTCATGTTGGCACCTATGAGGTATCTCACCATTAGTCAGAAAATATGTGTACTGCGTGATATTCGTTCTGTCTATGAGATATGGTCGCCGAAAGTGTGAGGTATAAAAACGTTATTATTGTTTCCTTTAATTCCTAGAGGAACATAGGGCTTCAGCCGTGCGTCTCCATTGCGTTCTGTTCTCTGCTAGAGTCTTCACCTGGCTCCAAGTCTGCCCACACGTTTTCATCTCCTCTTCACATGACCTCCTCCAAGTCACCCTTGCACTGACGACCAACTCTCAGCTTCCCTTTCGGGTTCCACTTGAACAATGGCTTGTCTAGTGATGTCGCTTGATGGTTTCCTCAGAGTATGGCCAATCTATCTCCATTTCTTCCTGCCTATTTGTTTCACAATCGGTTCCTGGTTGGTTCGCTCCCAGAGATCTCTGTTGCTGATCTTTTCTGGCCGGTCGTCTGATCTTGAGTATTGAGCGAAGACAACTGTTAATGAAGGTGTGTAGTCTGTTTGAGATGCTCTTTATGACGCGCAGTGCAAGTCTCTGATCCGTATAGTAGCACTGACTTCACATTGGAGTTGAAAATCCGGATGTTATTTTCATTTCCATGCTGATTGCTGTTGACCTCCACATAGGCTTGAGAGTAATGAAAGCCTGTCTTGCTTTCGCGATTCTCACTTCGCTTTCCTCATCAGTTCTGTGTGTAGTTGAAACGATGCTTCCCAGGTGGGTAAAGGAGGTAGTTTCTTTCAGGTTCCTCCCATTTATGCTTCTTGTTGTCTGTTGTTGTTGCTGCTGTTGGTGTTGGCCAGGAATCTTCATCACCTCTGTCTTCTCTATGTTCACCTGAAGTCCTATCTTTGGTGCTTCTTCTGCCAACTTGTTGCTTTTCACTTGCTTATCTTCTAGTTTGTGGGAAATTAGACATATATCATCGGCGAAGTCCAGATCCTCCAAGTTTTTTATGTAAGTCCATTTTATGCCTGTTTCCTCATTGCCCACTGTCTGTCGCATTATCCAATCTATTGAAATCCGGAAAATCATTGGCGATAGTAGGCTGCCTTGTCTTACTGGAAAACTTCGAAGCCTCAAAAGGAACAAGCTTATCCTTTACTGAAATCAGAGAGGCAAAATAACATCAACTGGTGAAAGCTTCTGAGAAGCCGATGTCTTCGCTCAGTAAAAGTAGATATAAGCGCAGGCACGTGACATATTCATGCAGTGCACGAAACTGGCATCCTTGTGAAAGAAGTGAGAACATATAGCACATGAGTGCTAGGAATCTGTGACTATCCAAACTGGAGAGTTAGTAATCTAATCCAGTCACCAACAGCAATGAAAGTTCTATCTATCCCAGGATAATGACAGCAAGATCCAACTGAAAAGCAAGGTTTTAACCATCCGATGCTGTACACCTAAAAACAACCTAGAACAGGAGAAGAAGGAAGATTTCTACAGACAGCTACAAGTAGTAGTGGACGACATCTCGAATGGTGACATCAAAATTACTATCGGCGTTACTAGTTCCAACCTGTGAACAGATAATACGGGTAGAGAATTCATTATGTCTCAAAGAGCTCTTCGGTAAATGGATGATAATTGAGAATGATTCGCAGATTTCTTTGCTTTCACTGATTTGGTGATTGGAGGTTGTGAGTTCAGGCAAAAAGATGTACTCAAGGCAACATGGCTTCCACTTGATGGACACACTAAAAACCAGATAGACTTCATCTTCGTCTCAAGAAAATCCAGATGCATCCTGCTGGACACAACGTCGAAAAAGGGAGCAAATGTAGACTGAGACCATTATTCTGTTAAAGGTCAGGTCGCAGCCCTTCAAGGCAGCCGCAGATAGACCAGGAATCAGACACCTTCACCGCGTCTATCAAAGCAAAGTTTGCTACATTAAATACCACCACTGAGAAACCTGTGAGGATGGACGCTGGAACTCACTGAAAGTGGTGTTCGGGGAAACAGTATAACTGTTTTGGGAAGAAAGAAGAGACAAGAGTGGGAATGGCTCTCTATGGACACCTGGAGGCTAGTAGGTGAGACATATGTGGTGAAACAGAAGATGACGCAATGCAAACATGGGCGTAGGTAGGAGAAGTTGATCACAATTTTGTACATCTCCCTGAGTGAATAACTGTTGGAGTGTGCGAGGGAAGACAATCATCTAACACACTACCAGGTGACGAAGGACAGAGCGAAGACACCTTAAAACACTGTGTCAGATAACCAGGTTGCTATCCAGGGAGACATCAACATACATGAAACCAATAAAAGGTGGCCAAGTTTACCTAGTTATCGAAGGGGAGAGACAAATATAACTGAAGGCTGATCACTTCAACAGACTCTTGAATCAACCATTCTCTGCAACTTGTCCAGAAATACTATCTATAGCAGATGCAGAACTATCAGTTAACACCAATCGTCAAACGAAAGTAGAAGTCTTGGAAGCAGTCACGCTGCAGAGGGCCAGGAATGGACGAAATTACCCAGAAGACCTGAAAAGGGATTCAGAGATCTCAGAGGATATGCTCATGCTAATATTGTGTAGAGTTTGGAAGGAAAGAAAGGTACCGTATGATTGGAATAAAGGTAACTTTAACAAACTTTCAAGGAATTCGGACTTTGGCCTCTGCAAGAACTGGTGTGGAACAACGCTGTCGTCAACGCCAAGCAAAATATCAACTGGCGTTATCCTAGAAGTCCATAGAGATGCACTGGACACAGAACTCCGACAGTAACAGCTTGGATTCAGGAAGAGCAAATCATATGTGAGGCAAATTGCAACTCCACGCATCATCACTGAGCACAGCATAAAATTGCAGTCAAACCTCTACTTGAACTCCACCAGCTTTAGAAAAGCCTTCGATAGGGTAATCCTTTAAGTGGTTGAAACTCGGTTCAGCACTAATGATTGTCCCAAGCCTTCATCAACCTCATTAAACAGCTATTTGACGATGCCGCACATCGATCGATTCACAACGAAAAATCCAAGGAGGCGTTCGAAATGAAGACAGGAGCGAAATATTTCCTCCTACTACCACTGATGATATTTCTAGTTGTGGAGAACTGGATTAGGCGTAAGACTGCGGGGAGCTAGAAGACCATGGGGGTAACAATAGTTACTAGATAGTGTTTAAACCGATACAGTCCTGCAGGAGGATAATCGCAATCCTGATTAGCTCAGTGTTTACGCCTCTGAATGCAACGATAGAAGACACGGAAACAAAACACAAGAGGGAAATGAGTTACTTCAGGATTGC